TTAATTGGTATTAAAATGTCTTAAATCAGTCTTTCGTAGGTCTTCATTTTTAAAACATCATAAATAATTTTTGTAATCTAAATAAAACATTAAAATTGAGAATTTTTTTTTATTTAAAAAAAATAACGACTTGCCATTATTGCTTCCGTCCCGATAGTGGAACCAATAAAAGCAATGTTGCGGCCGTGACATTTGGGAGATGCACCATTAACTTTTTGTCTGGAAAATATGAGCAAGTGTAAATGTCACAAAAATTGGCTCCAGCCAAGAGTTTTCTCCATGGCTAAAACCAGTACCAGGGAACATACATGAGGCACAGTGTATTTGTGCAAGAAGCGATTCAAGCTCGGAACCATGGGAATTAAGGCAGTGGAGTCACATGTGAAGCGCGAAACACAAATCGTCAAAATCGAGTTACAGAGAAACAGCCGGTATTTCTCAGTTTTGTTTCCACCCTTGTCTCTGCAACGCCTCCACTTATCACCAAATCAAACATACTAAGAAAACGATACAAAGAAAAATAGCTGCAAAAAAGACTTAGCACTGGTTATGTTGTGGCTTTAAAACTGATTTGTTTTGTTCCCTGCTAAAACAAAGTTTGTGAATTCAGTTAAATAATTATTAAAATATATCTGTCATTTCTGTGTTTTTAGCTTTCTTCCTGTATGCTTTTAAATTTTGAAACATTGGTGCAGTGGTTTATGTTAAAATAAACCTTTGGGTTAAGTTGTCGCACGCAGCTTTTTCTTGTGTTTCTTGTGAATTTGGTCTTAAATTTTTATTTCAAGTGGCATTAAAAAGTCTTGAATTTAACTTGCCCTATGCTGTAGGAACCCTGTAAAGATTCACATCGTTCTCATTGCATGTTCAGTTTGGTGGCACAAAAATGACTCCATAGATGTTGAGCAAAAGAACAAGAAATGCAAAGTTTGTCTGAAAACTGTCGGGACTACCCAAAGTAACACATCCAACCTCCACCTCCTACAGCACAGCTACGCTGTTGAGTTCAAAGATGTGCAAATAGCTTCATTACCTTTACACAAAAATGTTTGCAAAAAAACAAATATTTTTCTCCTGTTCAATGAGACAGTGTTGAATGTTTAAGTTTGAATGGTTACAAGACTTTTATATTTTATTGAAAGTAATGTTATGTAATCTGATTTATTCAATAAATAAATGAAAAATAAATCAGGTGCATTTCCTGCACATGCCATTATTTTTCACAAAAATTTATCATGCATTTATCAAGGTAAAACTACCTAATTCATTGTGATATTGATTTGAGGTCGTGTCGCCCAGCCCTAGTATTAACCATGAATTGCAATTCTTTAGGTAACCCATGCCACTAATGTTGATTCAAAATATCATATTTACAACACAATTTATGGAGGCTCATTAGCAAGTGCGAAAGCAGCAGATGGAGCACTGGAACTGGCTTTGCTTTAACTCCTCTTCTCCGCTCAGCTTCCTTACAGCTGATCTTCCCTGTGTGAGAATTCTTATCTAGGAGATCAAAAGAACACTTCCCAAAAAATGGTTGCTATTGCTAAATTATTACAGTCTCATCATGTCTGTTTCACATTAGAAACACCCCTGTTGTCGTCACGGTAAGACTGCAGTTTGTGTAGCAGTTGCACTATTAGATAAAATACTGGCTGCATGTTTAATGTGGGTAATCCAAACATACAGACTGAAAATGAATGCACCAATATGAGCAACAACTCCAGTTTCTCTGCATGCAGTATATTCATCCAACACAGAGCTTAACTCCTGAAAAAGGTTTAGATGTCCAAAAATGGAAAGTGCAGCAGTTTTATTCTTTTTAAAATCCATAACAGTTATTTTAATCTGACGTCCACATTGTTCTCTGACTTTTACTGTACGAACAATGGAATCCTACTGTTTTGCCATAATCTTCCATAAATGATCAAAACTGTTTTGTATGTTTTTTTTGTCAGAGAAAACCCTTAAAAAATCTCCTTTTTCTTTAAACAAACTCGACTTTCCTTGATGAAGAATTTCTGCTGTGAGCTTGAGCAGTTTTTTTCTATTTAGAGATGTTTTCTAGTTTTATAAAGAACTGCATATAGTAGTTCACCTTCATACAAAGCTCACATGGATTGTGCTTTTAGATAAATCCTTCCAAATCCACTAAAGTCTCTTACCATTTTTATCCAAAAGCACATTTTTCTGTCTCCAGGCTCCATGAGAAGGTTATCATTCATCTCAAAACTCTCCAGAAATATCTAGTGTGAGAACAGAGAGCACTTTTTTCTCACACTGAATACTCTTCAGGATTTGAACAGCCAGTAAGAAAATAATTGATTCCAAGAAAAGATTTGAAAATAAATGTCAAACATGGAAACAAAAAGGATTTTTTTTTTGTTCTGTAATTTTTTTAAAGTGATAAATATAAATATCATGCCATTTATGCATAGGTGGGAGATGTTCAGATAATATTTTTAGTAATCTATAGTGTTTCTCATAAATAAGAATCATGCCGCCAATCAGCCAAACCAGTAAGACTGCTTGTTGTTCTTTCCATCTAACATGAACATTAGTTGATAATTGTTTACTGACTCCTGTGTTACACCATGTCACAATCATTGTGCTTCTTTTAGCAGGTGTTTGTGAATCGTTATACCCCTTCAAAATAAAAGTCAGCTCTCTGTGGCCATGTGGAATCATGGAGGGCATGAAACCAGTCGTCCTGTGCTAGGAAGTTGATCATTATACACTATATTGCCAAAAGTATTTGCTCACCCATCCAAATTATTGGAATCAGGTGTTCCAATCACTTCCATGGCCACAGGTGTATAAATTCAAGCACCTAGGCATGCAGACTGTTTTTACAAACATTTGTGAAAGAATGGGTCGCTCTCAGGAGCTCAGTGAATTCCAGCGTGGAACTGTGATAGGATGCCACCTGTGCAACAAATCCAGTTGTGAAATTTCCTCGCTCCTAAATATTCCACAGTCAACTGTCAGCTGTATTATAAGAAAATGGAAGTGTTTGGGAACGACAGCAACTCAGCCACGAAGTGGTAGGCCACGTAAACTGACGGAGCGGGGTCAGCGGATGCTGACGCGCATAGTGCGAAGAGGTCGCCAACTTTCTGCAGAGTCAATCACTACAGACCTCCAAACTTCATGTGGCCTTCAGATTAGCTCAAGAACAGTGCGCAGAGAGCTTCATGGAATGGGTTTCCATGGTCGAGCAGCTGCATCCAAGCCATACATCACCAAGTGCAATGCAAAGCGTCGGATGCGGTGGTGTAAAGCACGCCGCCACTGGACTCTAGAGCAGTGGAGACGCGTTCTCTGGAGTGACGAATCGCGCTTCTCCATCTGGCAATCTGATGGACGGGTCTGGGTTTGGCGGTTGCCAGGAGAACGGTACTTGTCTGACTGCATTGTGCCAAGTGTAAAGTTTGGTGGAGGGGGGATTATGGTGTGGGGTTGTTTTTCAGGAGCTGGGCTTGGCCCCTTAGTTCCAGTGAAAGGAACTCTGAATGCTTCAGCATACCAAGACATTTTGGACAATTCCATGCTCCCAACTTTGTGGGAACAGTTTGGAGCTGGCCCCTTCCTCTTCCAACATGACTGTGCACCAGTGCACAAAGCAAGGTCCATAAAGACATGGATGACAGAGTCTGGTGTGGATGAACTTGACTGGCCTGCACAGAGTCCTGACCTCAACCCGATAGAACACCTTTGGGATGAATTAGAGCGGAGACTGAGAGCCAGGCCTTCTCGTCCAACATCAGTGTGCGACCTCACAAATGCGCTTCTGGAAGAATGGTCAAAAATTCCCATAAACACACTCCTAAACCTTGTGGACAGCCTTCCCAGAAGAGTTGAAGCTGTTCTAGCTGCAAAGGGTGGACCGACGTCATATTGAACCCTATGGATTAGGAACGGGATGTCACTTAAGCTCATATGTGAGTCAAGGCAGGTGAGCAAATACTTTTGGCAATATAGTGTAGAATAGAATAGAATACCATAGAATAGAATACCATAGAATAGAATAGAAAATCCCTTTATTGTCCCAAAATGGGGAAATTCTGGTGTTTATAGCAGCAAAAAAATTATAGAAAAAAATTGTCAAACAAATTTAGACCTTAGAAAAGTGTATAAGAATAACATAATAGTGAAGAGTTAAAAAATAAACTATAAAATACTGTACTTTAAAGTGTTTTAACAGTATAAAAACTGTGCACCTGGATAATAAATAACCAATATTCAGCTGTGGACATTTTTACTGTAATGGGTATTTGAAAATAACAGCAACATCAGAGATGTGCAAAAAGAAAGCAGCATGTTATTTAACTGAAGGGAGAAACTGTGCAAAATCAGCATGAATGTAGCAACTTATTGAGGTTGTTGGGAACAGTGGTGGTTATAGAGTCTTCCCGCTGCTGGGAGGAAGGATCTGTGATAATGCTCCCTGGTGCATTTAGGGTGCAGCAGTCTGTCACTGAAGGAGCCTCCAGTTCTGCAACAGCTTCATGCATGGGGTGGGAGACATTATCCAACAGAGATGTTCATTTAGTTAGGATCCTTTCGTTTCCCACCTCCTGTATTGAGTCCAGTGGGCATTTTATCATGCTGGCCATCCTGATCAGCTTATCCAGCTGATATCTCTCAGCTACATATAAGCCACTGCTCCAACAGACAGCTCCATAGAAGATGGCTGATGCCACAACAGAGTCATAGAAGGTCCTCAGTCTCCTCAGCAGGAAGAGTCTGCTCTGACCTTTCTTTTACAGTGTTGTGAGTCCAGTTCAGTTTGTTTTTCAGGTGAACATCTAGGTACTGATAAGAGTCCACTGCCTCAATGCCCCTTCCCTGGATGTTTACCAGTTTCAGTAGGGTGAATCTGCATCTGTGAATTTCCACCACTAGCTTCTTGGTTTTCCCTGCATTAATCAGAAGGTGGTTCTGCTGACATCAGAAGTTCAACGAAGTATAACAGTCTCATCTAACCCTAACCCTTACAGACAGTCGACATCCACAAGGAGAAGGTGGCGAGGCGAGAGATTGGCATCCTGACTACCAACAAAAACACTTCCCGCTCCCATAAAATCGTCGCTCCAGCCAATCTGGAGAGGCCTGTGCGCTACATCAGGAAGCCCATTGACTACAGCATGCTGGATGACACTGGACATGGAGTCAAGGTAGGCGGCAGCAGAGAGAAACTGGTTACCACTGTTTGCTATAACTTCAAATTAGACAATATACCCCATGCTGGGTCAGAGGTTTGAAAGGGGAGGCAGGAAAATCACAATAAAACGATAGCCTAGCTGCATGCAGTTAGCCAAGCTTAAATGATTACAGTATATAAACTTGTCAATCACACTTTATGTTAGAGTACTGTGACGTCAGCGCTGTGGAAGGAGTTGGTGTGCAAATAAGTTAGTTTTCAGCTCTGGATGGTCTTTTCTTTTGCATTTAATAGGAGCAACTACGCATGGGCAACTTTTAATGAGAGTCTATGGGCAAAAATGTTTGCGCCCCAGGGTGGAAAAACGTGACCAATCCGATGATGAACGAAACAGCTTTACTCAGCATTAAAGATTAAATATTTGTCCTGCACATCTAAAAAATATATTAATACATTTCAAAATATTTTATTGGCCAGCCGCCACTGATTAAACTCCCAATTCAGTTTAGATTAAAGTAAAACTGCTAAGTAGCTCTTTAATTTGATCATCTTGAATAAATCGCTATTATAAAAGTCATTATGTAGGATGTCATATTCGCTTCTAAACTGTATACTGTAGGGATGCACGATATTGGGATTTTGGTCGATATCCGATATGCCGATATTTTAAAACTCATGTAGCCGATCGCCGATATCGATACCGATGTTAAAGCTGAACAAAAATAAGTAGTCATTGAAAATAGCAGCTTGTTATCCATTTCTGACACTTTGAAAAATAATATACTCAAATATATTTTCATATGCTGATATCAAATAGATTTTTAAAAATGTGCTATCGATCTATTTTACTTTCAAAATCTCGTGAAATTTCATCGTTCTGTTACAAACTCTCGTGACATTTTGCAAATTCTTGTGAGATTTTGTTAGTAAAATAGATCGATACCGCGTCAATATATCAACATATAAAAATATGGCAAAATTTTGTGAATTTTCGGGGGATTTCATAGCATAACGATGAGATTTAGCAATATTTATTAGTAAAAGAGATTGATATGGTGTTTTTAAATGTTTTTAAATCAGCATATGAAGATATTGTGATATTTTAATGTATCAATATTTTTTCCCTCGTCTTTAGAAGTTTTTAAGTCTGTAAAAAAGAAGTTTTTGAGGAAGAAGAAGTAGTATTTTTTTATTTTTTTTAGACTTTAGAAATTCAGAAGCTGATAAAATATCGGGTTAAATATCGGTGGGGTGGCCGATGTCCGATATTCAGTTTTAAGGCCGATACAGGCCGATACCGATAGGGAGCCGATTATATCGTGCATCCCTAGTATACTGTGCAGAATACAGTTGACATCCAGTCAACATGGTGTCCTCTCCCTGTTGATTAGACATAATTAGACATAATTCTAGGTAGACAGCCATGCTTTCAGTTGCAAAAACATTCATTCTTTAGACCTAAGCATAACTATGGTTGTTGTTTGTCAGTAGAGTATACTCTAAATGATCTACTTCTGTTTTCTCAGACCTTTATTTAGTTGCATTCTTCAGTATGCTGCTTCAAGTGTGTTTATCTCTGATTGGAATGAAATTTGTTCAATTATTGTTGGAAACAGAAAAAATACATTTTTTGAATTTAAATATGGAAAAAATTGAATTGTTTGATTGTTTTTTTTTTCCTTCAGCTTTTATTCAAAATTCCCTCTTTTCATTTAACTCATCCCCTTTGAGAGCAGTGGGCTGCCATTGTGCGGCGCCCAAGAGCAGTGTGGGGTTAAGGGTATTTGCTAAGAGACACAGACTGGCAGTCTGTGGGAGTGGGGCTCGAACTCAGAACCCCAGGGTTCCAAGCTCTATGCCCTTACCGCTAGGCCGCCACTCCCCCAGCAAATCTGCTGTTTTCTCAGATGTTCTCAAACTTATTTTTTTGTATTTTTCAGGGGGGTATTTTTCAAATTATTTTTTTGCAGGTTGAGGTTTATGCATTCCTGATGGTCTGCGTGGATGTTAGCAACAACATTGTACTGAATTGAATTCAGCTTATCGGTCAATGTGCACATCTACAAAGAGAGGTTGTAAGACTCAATATAAAAAAGAGATATATATAAACAGGAAAAATGTAATTGAAAAATAAATATATGGAAAATAAAAAGATTAAAAACCTTTTTCAAAGTTTCAATTCTGGATTCCATTTGTTTCAAATTTCAATTTATTATTTGTGTTCTTTTGCTTTCAACAATAATGGAACAAAGTCCACTCCATATGTTTCTATCTCTGTCTGTTTGTCTGAAGCTCTTCTTCTGCTTTGCATTTTCTGACTTGATGTCTAATGAAATGTCCAGCATGCAGTCGCACTCTGCCTAACCTTTAGATTAAAATGTCTTCTGTTTCTTCTTCCTCCTTCTGTCCCGTCTGCTGTCACTGATGTGTTAAGTGGTTGATGAGGTTCAAGGTAAGGCTGTACAGCACACCTACACACAATGCAGAAGCAACTGCTTCTGATGTGTCTCAGCTGGTGATGGGAGGGGGTGGAAGAGGTGTCAGATTTTATACTCCATAGTATATGACTATATGGAACAAAATATGGCTTAAAGCTCTGAGGAAACTTTCTGACATGATTTATTGATGTGATTTTATTTTAAATCTTAATGTATTCTTACTTTAATAGGTGAAAAATATGCTGAGGTTCTAAAATGTAAACTCTGCTGTATTTCTCATTCATAATGGTTTAATCATAAAATAATTGTTGGAATCTGAATGTGCTCTTATATAAAGTAGCCTAATCCGTCATCATTGTTATTACTCTGTAGTTCGTCCCCTGGCCTCTACAGCTCAACATATCCTCCAACCAATAGTGAACTCTGGAGTGATCTGTCAATCAAAGAGTAGGAGCAGCAGTGTGGGAGAAAGAGACAATGTACTTTTATATATTATTTAATGTGAAATCTTTTCTATGGAACACAAAATATCATACTGTTTGGCCTCAGGGCTACAGTGTGAAGAGTTTTGGGTCAGGTTGGTATTTTTTATTATCTATGCTGGAACTAAGCCTTTGTACTTCAGGCTGTTTTTGTTGCCACAGGTAAACGGCCAGCAGAGTTTAAAACTAGGAGGTCTGTCCCGGTCCAACCCACCGACCCAGAAACCGCCCAGTCCTCCAAGAGCAGGGAAAGGAATTCTGGGGTATGTACATTTATTTGTTTTTCTGAATTTTAGCCAACTTAATCTCTTTACTTTTCTGTAAAAAGTTTTTGTTTTACAGTTTCTGTGCTCTGATAGATTTATGGTTTATGTCAGCCTCACCTGTTCATCTCTGCTTAGGATTTATAGGAAGGGATGTTTTAAAAAAGGCTTCAGCCTGTGCACGTTTATGTGCTGAGAAATGCCGGTGTCCTGTGATGAGGTTTTTACAGATTTGAGGCGGCAGTGGGAAATCGCATTCACTCACACGCCCACACAGACTTGTTCTGAAACGCAGTGCTCTGAGGAATAACGTCATCGGTTGTGAAAGCTTGTTGTGTTCTCTGCCCTTAAACATCTGGGTCACCAAGCTATGTCTATCCTTTTTGTCTCCTTATGTCATAAAAGGCAAAATCATACCTGCGAGGAAATAATGCCAAGGTAGTATTAATCACACAATATTTTATGGTTGGGTTTTTTTCTTTGTTTTTTGTGAGTGATTGGAGACAAATAAAACATATGGGTATATTTAATTCATTCCACAGCCCTGCTGTAAAGTTATTAATGGTAATATAAAACCAATCAAGGGATTTTGAGGCTTTTCCTCAGATTTAATTTTTCTGTCTGTCTACATAGCTTTTAATCTAAATACAGTAGCAGCCATTCAAAATGGACCTTCCCAGCAAAAGCCACCCGAATGGCAGCCGAATGGCAGCAAAATCCCCTCCAACCTCCAGTCACTGGCCTTCTCATGGGCATATATATATTCTTTTATTCTGACTTCATCCTTTCACTGAATTAAAGGATCTGACCAGGAGATAACGCTTCTCTTTAGATCTTGATGTCCACAGATGTTTAAAAATGTTTAAAAAGGAATTGTAGGGGTCTGGCCAAGGAAAGTGGGGAGATTTTGAATGGCTGCTACTGTAGAAACATGTTTTTCGTCTGCAAACACTGTTCTAGTGAAACATAAACCAGTTAAAACACACCATCTCTAAGGAATCTCTGAATAGCTTCAGGAATTTTCAGAATTGAATCATTAACATCATTCAGGAGATTGTTTTTACTACTGAATATTTCTTGGGTCTGTTTGTTGAAGGTTTTAGATTCAGGGATGGTGGACCTCTGCTCTAGTCTTTAGTCCTTCCAGTATTGAAGTAAATCTGTGTCGCTGGGATTTGAATTAAAAATGCCACTGAAATTTAAATGTTGTATGTTTGTACTTGCTGTTTCAGTGTTAAAGTATATTCAGAACACATTTTTGACCTAAAAAGAAGTTAATTGTCATTATTTCTACACAGTTGAAATTTCATTTGTTATTTTCTCTTCATGCTAAAAATTCACATTACTATTTCAAAGTGATTACATTTTCAATACTTATTTTTCAGTTTAATTTTTCAGTGTTAAAAAAAATCTGCATATAAAAAAATTCAACTTTCATTCAAAGTCAGTATTTTCAGCCTCCTGAGATTCAACTGTCTTTATTTCACCGTCATAAATTTGGCATCTAAATTCAGTGTAAAAAGGGAAGGGTTACTTCAGGTCACAGACATTAGCAGTGGATTGTGATGTCCAACACCTAGCCAATCCCGTTACGTTTTCTAAGTCATTTGAAGTGACGCTTGTGGCGCTCATAGGGAAGGAAAACCAGCATGACGGAGCCGGTCATGCAAGCTAACGCTAACTCAACTACAGAAAAATGAAAGTAATAAACTCACCGTTGAGTTAGCATTAGCTTGCATGACCGGCTCCAGCATGCTGGTTTTCCTTCCGTATGCGTCACGTGACTAAGAAAACGTAACGGGATTGGCTGGGTGTTGGACACCACAATCCATTGCTAATGTCTGTGACCTGCCCTTTTTACACTGAATTTAGACGCCGAATTTAAGACAGTGAAATAGAGCCAGTTGTATATATTTATTTAACACTGAAACAGTAAGTACAAACATACAACATTTAAATTTCAGTGGCATTTTTAATTCAAATCCCAGCGACACAGATTTACTTCCATATTCCAGCCTCTAACAGGTATTCTGCCAGGATGTGGTTCTATCCAGCTTCCCTGTCCTAGGTGAACTGGTGCAGTATGATGCTGCCATCACTATGTTTCACCACAGGGAGTGTGTGTTGAAGCTAAAATCCAGAAGAATGTTTATGCTACTTATAACATTTTCAACTAGGCCAAATAGTTTTCTTTTCGATCCCCTATGCGGAGAAGAGAAAACTGATGATGCGACTTGTTAAGGCTTTCTTTGAATAATAGTTGTCCTGTTAAAGGCTACCTTCAGAGTCACAGGGGACTCTTAGCTGCTTCTATGATTAAAGCCCTCCATGCATATGGAGCTAGAGCTGCTGAGCTGCCAGAGTCAGCGGGCTCCTCCTGTTGTCTCTTCCTTCTAGTTTCCTGTTACCTGCTGATCTGCCGCCTGTCCCCCTGAATCAGAAGCATAGGAGGATTATTTTCTATCGTTCCTCACCACAGCACCTTTAATCCATCATACTCCATTAAAGGCTGTGTTTTTCTTGCTTTATCTCATTTCCAAAGGTGATTAATACTCTAAAAGTGGAGAGACTGCATCTTTTTATTAAGGTCTTTGCATCTTTATATTTGGTCCAACGTGTGGCCATGTTTCTAGGAAAGACGAACAGAAGCAGCTTAGCAGTTGGTCAGAACTAAGCTGTGCTCATCGAGCCAAGTTTGCCTGTCTGTGCTCACAGACAAACATACATGGGGAGCAACGGGACAAACACACAGCAGAGAGCTGGCAGCCTGCTGCACACAGCCATCTCTCTCACAGCTCACACCCTTTTTTCTACATTAACCACTGAGAGGAACATTCTGTCAGTTTGTTCATTCTGAGTCTGTTCTGTTCCTGTGAAAAGTGCCATTCAGACGGGATTAAAATCTTCATTTATGAGACCGATAATAGAGACCTCCACCCCCGCCCCGGGGCTGCTCAGACCAAATGGATGTTTTTTATCTTGCCAGAGAAATGTTCCATTTATCAACAGCTTTGCTTCTGTTAGTAATGACTCTTTTGTTCAGCGTTCTGTTTGTTCAACCATGGGTGCAGAGTTCTAACTGTGAAAATGTTTCCTTTATATCGATGTCTAACTGATCTCCGCTGGTTTAACTTTGGCACCTAAATCAACTTGAATGTATAATCAAACTTGGTGTCTTTAACGTTTTTTTTTTTTTGTCTTGTTCTGCTTCTATTTCTTTCTTGGATGCTGCAGGAGTTGATACTGTTTAAAAATACTCCCTGACCTTTAAATATGGCCTTAACAGATTTCTGTATTTCTTTTGCAGCAAGAAGGAGCCAACCCCTGGCCTGTTAACTCTTTCACACTGCATTAGTTATTACCCTCGCTATTAAACAGCAGGAGTTGTTTTTATAGTTAACTTTGTATTAGAAATGCTTATAGATTCTTTTTCCTAATGGGAGGAAATAATGTGACTTCAGCTTTTCAGCAGGATATGGTGCATGGAAATGTTCCCAGCTCGCTTTTTGCATAATAGCAGAAGGATGATCTGAATAATGGGACAGGTCACCAGCACCACCTTGTTTTCCTGTACAAACGTCTTCCCTACCTTTACATCTTGCATGCACAGGCACAAGAACTCCCCCTACAGGACACTGGAGCCAGTACGCCCCCCTGTGGTGCCCAACGATTACGCCTCCAGCCCGACAAGAAACAATATGGGTGCTGGACAACTTCCCAGTCCCGTCCGCACCGCCACCCTGAACCAACGACCCAGAACATACAGGTAGTCGGGTCAGAGTGTAAACATGGTGTCTTACTAACCAGAAACTTCTGAAAAAACACAAAACTCCTGAAATGGGTCAAATCACAGCTGACAGGGAATAACTGATATGACTGAAAACAAGGGAGGTCAATAAATTAGAGTATCATTTAAAAAAAATCAATTTATCTGAGTAATTCAATTTAAAACTGGCCATATTTCATTTTATATATTATAGCTATTTTTTTTTTTTTTTTTTTGATGACTGTAACTTACACTGCCAATGAAAAACCCTATTGCACTGACTTGGAGAAGTTTAAATTAAAAAGGACCATTAAAAATATAATTTCTTATACATCTGAGATCACAGTAATGGAGAGGACTGCTAACCTGACGATCACTGACCCCCCATAATCAGGTCAGAGTCAAAGAATCTGCCTATACACAGAGTGCTGTATCCAAGCAAAGAATGGAAAGTTAAGTGGAGGAAAAAAGTTTGGAAGAAAAATGTGCCAAAGCATAAAGACAACAATATCTGCAGCCTTTAAGGGATATAAGATGTATCATAGACATGAGCTAAAACTGTTACGTTGAATAAAAAACCTTTTAGCCGTTGACATGTTGAATATATAGTTTGCTAACATAATGGCTCAGCTGAGGCTGATAGTTGCATTTTAAATCATCCTTATTTGCATCTTGCATGTTTTACGCCTCTGCTTCTCCATTTACAGCCAGTCTAACCAAACAGCAGCTGGGCTGAAAACATGAGCTAACATTTTGAATCTGACAGACTCACATTTTTAGACAAAAGGTATGAAATTCTTCCACATCCACTGATATGTTTGAAATAGGTGAAAAAGATCAGACTTATGTGAAACTGGACAGATATGAGGAGAAATTCCCTCTTTATGCTAAGTAGGCTGAATTATACTTCCAAAAAGCTGATATTGAAGAAAAAAAAACACAGAAAAAAGCCTTGAAAGCTCCTTTATATTATTCATCCTAAAAGATTTCTTCCCAAATCTTTGCTCATGGTTCCACCATCTTCCTCTCAGAGTTCTTTCAGCCTGGTTTCCTCACACTACGCTGCTGCTTCCAGACTTTCCTCCATTGTTTTGCTTCTATGCTTTTTTCTTCCAGTTTTGTTTTGCTAAACTGTCTGAGAACATTAAGGTCATACTTTCTGTTTGCTGACATCCAACTAACCAATTTTCTTTATCTTCATGGATTCATCTTCAGTTGTGTGTTTATTCAACCTCATAGATTTTTTTCTTCTTTAAGGAATGCTAGAAGGCCAAAGTAAACATCTTTAGTTTTCTACATAGCTGTAACAAAAACAAGTGCCTTTTGTGATTGCATAGTTATGGCCTGAAAACAACTGATTTATATTTACTACATGCTTGTTTTGATCAAGTGGCATACATTCAAGTTTTGCTTACTTTAAGCCAGTAGGTATTTCCTAAGGTATAACTCTAAGGCCCTTTTTTCAGTTTGTCTTCTTATTTGTCAGCACGTGGATGAAGGATTAGGGTTTAACTGTGTCATTTCTGTTTTCTCATATCCAGAACTTTAAAGATTAATGCTTTAAGTGACACAGCCATTTGTTTTAAAGGTAGTGATAACTGCTGCGGTTGACAAGGTGAAAACCTTAAAACGTGATATTTGCTACTCAACGCCATTTTTTTTTTATGCCACAAATAATAAAGCACACATTTCAATAATGATATGACAACAGTTTAGGTGCATTCATTTGGGCCAAACTAAAAAGCAAATATTAAATTCAATTCAACATATTTATATAGCGCCAATTAACAACATTTCGTCTCAAGGCACTTTACAGTTCACCAGATCATACAGTCAAATTGATTCAAAGTTTTCTGTCTTCGGAAAAACTGTTGATTACATCAACTCATTGACCCAAAGGCAAATACTCACACTAAGCATGCTTGTAGCAACAGTGGAGAGGAAACCTCTGGACAGGTGAGGTTTCCTCCAGCAGAACCACTGAGCCTGGTTCTGCTGGAGGTTTCTTCCTGTTAAAAGAGAGTTTTTCCTCTCTAGTCTCGCTACAAGCATGATTAGTGTGAGGGATTGCATTCAAGCCACGAGTCTAGTTTTCATTAGATAGAAAACTTTGAACCAATTTGACTGCATGAATTTTAAAGTGCCTTAAAATGACGAGTTGTGAATTGGTGCTATAGAAATAAACTGAATTGAAAACTGAATTGAAAGAATTCTATGGTGTAAACTTTGTTCCATTGTTGTTGCAAAGCCACGAACAGGTTTTGGAAATGGAAAATTAAAAAAATATGCAATGTAGGAATAAAACTTTACAACACTTCTTTATAAAAACAAAAGGTTTTAAAAGTACTTTGCTCTTTTCTAAGATTTGTAGTTAAAAAAAATGATGTTTTTTTTCTCAAATCAAATTTAAAAAATCTAATCAAATGAAAAATATATAAAAACAATATATATATATATATATATATATATATATATATATATATATATATATATATATATATATATATATATATATATATATATATATATATATATAAGAAAAATAAAATATGCTTTTTGTTTAAAGAAATAAACATCAAAATCTGAGGAAACTGAAAAGTTACCTTCAAAACCTTTTTTGATGAACAATTTTCAGTCGTTCATGCAACAATTTGCATTTTCTTTTTTATTTCCGTTTACAAAATGTGTTATTTACACAAAATTCACTCCACAGAATGTAGTCATGTTATTATTTGATATGTACACATGGTGTGTTTGCACTGTGATGCTTGTGAGTTGCAGCTCCATTTATGTGGTGATCATATGCTATATGCTACAGTTTCACATGTAGTAGACGATAGTGAACTGCTGTTTTTTTTTTTTTTAGCATCATCCTTCCATACAGCAGTGAAATGAGAAGTATTACTTTGGGCAGGAGTAGAAATACATGGCTGTCAGTATTTGTTCTTTGTTGTTGGGTCAGATTCAATTTGGGGTTCTTAAAATTTCTCTATTGCACTTCTCTTTGAGTACATGGTCTGATCACATAATTCTTGTATGCTTTAGGTGTTATTTATAAACTGTATGTCGATGGAGAGACAGATGTCTGCTGCATTGAATAATTGATTCATAGTAGACTAAATCACCTCATTCTTTCATCCTGAAGCCTTTAACCAATCAGTTTGCACTTTTTCTGCTTATTTCATTGCTCCTTTGCTGCTGCTGTTCCCTCAGCTTCTTCTCATCAGGCGCCTGGCTTGTTTACCATCCCGCCTCCATCACTCGGCCGCTCGCTTTGATGTTTTCCAGTTTTTCCCAGTTTTGTTCTGTTTCTGATCTTCTGTGAAACCACTTAATTAATAGCAGTTTTTGATCAGCAAGGCTTTTGAAAATTTTTGAGGTTTGAAAAATACCTGTTACATCTAAGAATGACCTATTTCTGCTTATCAAACCTTTTCATGTTGATTCAGGACATGTGTCGACAAGCATATAACTTTTTAGCTGTTTTCAGTGTTTCATTCCTAATCTGATTAATATCATAAGAGTTAATTTAACTGACTTATGGATTAAAAATAAGTAGTGCAGATGATACCATCCAACCTAATCAAGCACGAGTCTTATTTTCTGTCCCTTAAAGGCTTTTTTGTTTTCTTAGACTCTGTGGAGGTTTGTAATCTGTTCTTGTCAGTTTATTTAGCCGAAAGATGGCGTGTTCTGATCACAACCTTTTAAACTCAGCTTTATGTACTTTGAAGCAAAATAGACGAGTCCAATATAACATGAGGGTTAATCAAGAAACGTTAGTATTTCTAATGTTTTTTCCGTTTGTGTTGCTGGACTCGGAATAGAACACATCTCCATCTGCAGCACTGATTTTCTTGTTTGGGTGTGTGTGTGTGCGCGTGTCTGTGTGTGTGTGTGTGTGTGTGTGTGTAGTGGTAGCAGTGGAGGCAGCCACCCCAGCAGCAGCAGTCGCAGCAGCAGCAGAGAAAACAGTGGAAGCGGCTGTGTGGGGGGTCCCATCGCCGTGCCAACGCCGTCTCCACCCTCTACCTTCCCAGGTAACAGGGTAACACATTGGCATGTTACATTATTAGTTCCTTTACTGCGTTTCTGTAACAAATGTTAATGAAAAGGTAAATATAAAAGTTCAATACCTCACTAAAACATAAGTCAGGGTTAAACTTTTTCCGGGCTCTTCTGCTGAGAGGAAGCATCAAAGCTGTTGGAACTATGCCTCCGAAGAGAAGCTCAGTGTTTAGTAGAAAACTTCATTCAAACCTTCAAACTTTTGCAACCTAAGTTAGGATATTTATGGAAAACGGTTCTCTTACCCATGAATGATGGATGTTAAAGGCATCGACTGAAGCCTCAGATTAATCTTCATCGTCCTCCATGTCTGCCGTCATCATAGTTATCTGTTGCTGTATGCTCATTCAGGAGGAGCAGATCCTGCAAAGTTGATGACTGGATGCTATCAGCGGGTTTCCCTTAGATGGAAAACTTTAAGCCAATCTGTCTGGATAATCTGATTTCTATATAGAGTCTTAAGATGATGTATCGTTAATTAGAGCTTCAGAAAAAACTGAAGTGAACTGAATCTATTTGTAGGTGCAGCATTGCACACTGCAAATAGGATTGATGGATGTTTATGTGTGTATTAATTAAATTCAGACTAAGGCTGAAATAATAAATCGGATGATCAAGATCTATCAATTATTGAAATAATTATCGACCAGTATCAAACTATTAATCGTAAACTAGAGTGTAGAGACAAACATGCTAGTAATTGAAAGAGCAACTTACTCAGAGCAATAATTGTGTAAAAATTGTTTAAAAAAACACATGCATTTTAAGATTTTGCATTTACGATGAAAATACATTTTTGTCTGTGAATATATGCTCTATGCAGAGCTCCTCATGTGGCAAAGTTTTAGCTTTTAGTTTAAATTCTGTGAAATGAGGCACCTTTCACTATCTGATTATTAAACTAAAAAAAAACTATTGCCAGATTCATTGACCATTTTGATAGCAAAATAATTGTAGTTTGCAACTCTAAGTCCAAACTTGAACAAAGACGAAACTGAGCTAATTTTAAGAAATGCTATTTAGAAAATCCAGCTCAGTTCAGATGATTTGGGACCAAAAGAAGCTGCATGTGAGCATGTAGAGACATCAAACCTTTGATTTAATTTTTTTGTTGACTATACAGTAATCCCTCACACTGAGCATGCATGCAGCGACAGTGGAGAGGAAAAACTGAACTTTAGCAGGAAGAAAACTGCAGCAGAACCGGAACCAGGCGCAGTGAGAGCAGCCTTCAATCGAGGCCGGCTACAGGTTCAAGGAGATAGAAGCAAAAATAGAAAAGGATAGAAGCACTGATCTATAAATAATTTCTATGTTAGAAGTAGTAATTGTAAACTAGCTCCATAGGAGGCTCTGTCTGGCAGCTCTGTCGGGGAAAGATATGGATACGCTGAAGAGCTCTGAGTCAGTTTTCATGTTAAAAGGATAAAAAAGAGAACATCCAGTCAGTAGATGTTTTTCTATCAGCTGCTGCAGTGTCTTGTTCTTCCCCTCCTCTCTGCTCTAACCCTCCTTCCTTCCTAACTGGTTCCTCTTCTTTTTCCTTCCTCCTCCCCTTTCTAAAGTCTCCCCGACTGCCGGACCATCTAGCTCCTCCTCCACAGCTCCAAACTCCTCCCCTTCTCCCTCGCCAACTCCTTCCTCTTTCTCCTCTTCCTCCTCCACCACAACCTTAACCAAACCTAATGTACCTCTGGCACCAAACTCTCCTGCTCACCAAGCTGACTCGTCTCCTCACAGAAACTCACAGACAAACTTACCAAACACCTCCCCCCCTCCTAACCCTCCACCTAGCACCTCAGAGGTCCAATCACAGCTGTCTTCTCTCCCTCCTCCTGCTCCTCCTCCTTCACTCTCCTCCTCATCACCTGCTGAAGGTGAGTGTGTCTATAACACGAGTGGCCCCTAACCTGACTCTTGTTAGTTTGTTCTGCATTTTCTTTTCTTTTTTTTTTTTTTTTTTTTGATAGCTCTGCATTAAAAATATTTTTTTAAAACCTTAAAAAGAAAAAAGCTGAACTTTTTGTGTTTCTCATAGACAAACCAGATCTCTGTAGGAACTGTAATTGCTTTCTTTACCATAAGAGGGAGGCAAAGCTTTGATATTACAGCTCATTCACTCCACCTCTAAAACAGCCTTGTTGACCTGATGCTTTTATGATAATGTAAAGATTTCGGTATATTAGCTGTGTTTAGGGATTCTAGTTTCTAACAGGGTTCCTCTCTGCTGCCTCAGGTCCCATCGTCCCTCAGTTCTACAGCATGAATCGCCCTCAGCCTCGACAGCAGACCCCACAGGTGGGAGGGTCACTTCCATACCGCCGTCCGCCCTCTGTGACCGGTCAGCAAATACCTACGCACAACCACGTCAATGGAGGACCCTACTACAACCAGAGCCCAGGTTGGGTCGCTAAAACAAACTTTTACTCCAATGCAAACACAGAGATGCAAGGACTTGTTTAAAAAAGATTTTTGAGTCTTTTAAAGATGCTGAGACTTGGATGGCTCTACGTATTTTGAAAAATGACAAAACAGAAGTCTGTTATTTTTGGAAGGAATGAAACTTCAGTTTTAAGTAACTATGAGGTTTAAATAGAGATCTGAGAAATGTTCTGGTCTCAGTTTAACCTCTAAGCTCTACCTTCTCCCTCCCTGTGTCCCTCACACCCCTTTCAAATTACCCGTCTTCTTGGTCCAAAATAATCACATTTTGGATAAAGAAAACAGCTGGTTTGAAAGGAGTGTGAAGGAAGCCATTTGTTAAGAGAGAAAAAGCTACCTTACACGGAGGGGGGGGGGACTCAACTTTCAGCTCACAAAAACCTCCAACAGATAGATAGAGTTGATTCCTTCCCTTCTATCATCTCAAACCTCATCGCCATGCAGCGGACCAAGACATCTGGCCTGGTCAGTCAGGCCAACAATGACCCTCACAACTCCCCTTTTCAGAGGAATAGACCAGTACCACGTATTGCAGGCTAACAAAGACATTAACAACTTTTTATTACTAAGGGTTGGACCTGGTCTTCCGGTTTAATTAGCATGTTTTCTAAGCGTTAACAAGGCTTTGTTGGGCTACTCTATAAAGCTTGAAACTCAACGCTTATCCAGACATCTTGAATTGAAAAAGCTTCCTGGATGGGAAGCGAAAAGTCTTCAGACTTCGAAAGCAAAGTGCAGGGGTTTGTTTTTTGTCTTTTTTGGAAGCTCAGATATCTGGTAATGTCAAACCTCTGAGCTGAGAGTATTGTAGGTGGAAGGCTGAAAACCAGCAGGTTGTTCTATTTGTTTTTCTGTTGGCAGGAAAGGAAAAGGTCATATAGTCTGATTTGTTTGCTTCTCTGGTTATGTGAGATAGAAGTAGTAAAAAATGGTTTATGACAACAAACTTCATACATGTTTCATATGAATGGCAGCCATGGTGCTTTCACACCAAATATGTATAGTCGCTCCGAACGACTGATTTACAAGTTCTCCTTAAGTTCCGGTGTGCGACAGGATGCATAGTGATGCAACAGACAGGTTTCTAGCGTCGCCATGGGAACAATTTTAGTTATCCCATTGATGGAGAAGTGAACTCTGGAGCTACAGGAGGACAAGTGATGAATGATTGACAGTACTTCTAGCGCTAAACCTTTTAACTTTTATTCCCTACTTCATTCAATGTCAACATTATTGGTTTTATTTCTTCGCTGTTCTCCTTTACTCACATCACATCCACATCCGTCCCTGATTGGTTGGCACGCTAGACACAAAAAAAGGAGATTAGAAAAGTGAGAAACTCCCAACAGCCGTCGCTTTGTTCCCATCACAGGTGTCTTGCTGCCGCATAGCCAAAAACTATGCCTGCCGTATCTCTAGAACTGCGCCTATTCTACAGCTTAGCATCGCATTGCTCCTGAACGCGCCTCTACAGGATAACATGTAAATCTGTTGCTCTAGTTGCTGTAAAAACACCGAAAGGTTTATTTTGTTTATTTTAAAGTGGGACCTCAAAAAGCTTAACTGATTAGATCTTTTCCAGTTTTTACTGAATCTTATTTTCTTGATCCTAATTCCCCTCTGAATGTGTCTGCAGCCTCCCCTCCGCCCCCATCGCTCCTGCAGTACACCCCTCAGCTGCCTCTGATGGGCTTCGTCGCTCGAGTTCAAGAATCTAGTGAGTCTGTCCCTGTTGACTATTGTTCACTCCACCAGCCTGTGGTAGTTCTGAATGCGCTTATGTGGGGTAACTAAAACTGACCGTTAGCGTCTCAGTCCTCTCACTGAAAAATATCCCTTTGCCAACAGTTACAGACACTCTTCCTCCTCAACCAGCAGCAGAGAACCAATCAGGGCCTGACGACTCTCTGTCCACGCCAAAGCCTTCAGAGGAAGGACACGCTGAGGACGACTCCAAAGTGGTGGAGTACAGCGATCCATACGCTGAAGAGGACCCACCATGGGCCCCCAGGAGCTACTTAGAGAAAGGTTTGTCTCTGAAGGCCTCTCAGGGTTTTCAGTTCTGGTCAGTATTCTTTTAAGACGGTTAGTGTTGAGAAAGAAACGCTGGCACTTTGTGTCCTTCCAGTTGTTGCCGTATACGATTACACAGCAGACAAGGAGGATGAGCTGTCCTTCCAGGAAGGAGCCATCATTTACGTGGTGAAGAAGAACGAGGACGGCTGGTTTGAAGGGGTGATGAACGCCACCACCGGCCTCTTCCCCGGGAACTACGTAGAGTCCATCATGCACTACGCCGACTAAAGACCCCGCCCCTCCAGGTGGACCTCATCGAACCTGCAGTTCTGTTCATTTGTCCAGAACCTGAACAGTAAAGGTGACTTTGTTCTACTTTTATATTTTCCTCCTGTGGTTCAGTTTATCATAGTTAATATTCATTTATTGGAATATTCTTATTTATTGGATCAGTTTAGCTGGTTTGTCTGAAGCCTTCTGGATTTTTCTAACATCCACTATGTTGAAAATGTTCTGTTCTTTAGGTGAATATGGTGTGAATTTCAGGTAGTTCAGCCTGGTCCAGTTTCCAAACCCTTTTCCTGATAAATAAATCAATAACTGCTACAGATACAGGATGTTTTAGCAGTGAATAAAACCATCGGTCAGGAAGCTGTTTTTCATTTCTTCTGGTTTAGGTGAAGAAGGATCTATTTTAATGCTGCAGACACCAACAGTAATGTTACTGATTCTTTGTCTTTGTCTCCTGTACAGCAATAAGAAAAAAAGTTGTATTGTGTGCCTTTTAAAAACCTTTTCATGTTTTCTCATATTAAACTTCATCCTCAGATTTTGTTTCAGAGAAAAATAACACTTGTGCATAATTGGAAGGTTGAGGAAACAGGATTCCAAAGTTTTCAGTTTCATTTTTCTTTCCCTTTACATTCATGCTCTACTTTCTTTTGTTCTGACCGATAAAATTAAATTATTAATACCTGAGGCATCATCTGAGGTGTTAGTAATCCTGCTTTTAGTTTCTATTGATTTTATTCAGATAATTTTTCTTGTTTTAGTCCTAAAAGTAAAATTCAGACAAAGAGTCTTTATTCTAATGAGATGAAGACAGCATATCTGCTGTGTTTGATGAACCTTTTGAAGGAGTGTGAGGAACTCAGTTTAGATTCTGTCCGCTTCATCTTTCCTCAGTATTAGACTTAGATTTAGACAATATAAATGTTACTTTACATAACTTTCTATTGTACATTTTTTTTTTTTGCATTTCCACATCTATAGAGCCAAATGATAAACAATTAAGATGAAAATCAGAGGATTCCTGTCAAACATATCTGTTCTTCAGACGGTCTTCTCTTCCTGTGAAGGTTTCTGTTTTTTTCTTTCCAGTAAATAACACTAAGATTTTACCAAACGAGCCAATGAATCAGAACACAGACTAAATTATCCTGCAAAAAACAATCTTATGTTTAGTCTGTGATTCAATTTATTATGATTTTAGCATAATTTCAACCCTGCAGACTTAATTCATTGAACAGCAACAGTTGAACCGAAGGAAATGCTTCCTTCCTGTTGCTACAGAAAACTCTGATGAAGGAAGAAGCTGCTGGACGAGTCCACCATGTTAAAGACAACCACAGCTCAACTTAGCACATTTTAGGCTGCGCTGCCTTCACACTTAAACCTCCAGCACTTTTATGAACCCAAACCAACCAATGATTGGGAAAACAAGCACTTAAACGTTAGAACGAGGACGTTTTCCTTGCATGATTTAACCTGTGATCTTTTGCACCACCAGATCCCTCCATTTTCTCAGAGCACAAAAAGAAAGCAGACGTTTTATATTTAAAACACCTCAAGAAAAAATGTGAATCAAGGTTACGATCCGGTCTCAGGCTAACGGCGAGAAAAAAAAAAGCACCAGAAAGCAGAACTTCTCCTGATGTGTGAACTCTGAGCCTCTTGTCTTTGTTTGTGGTGAAATGAACCTGAACCAGTTTGCCAGGTGGAGATTCTGTTGCCAGTTTTAAAGTTTACAGTGTGCTTCTCTGCATGCCTGATATGTAACTGACACATGTATTTACATTTTTAATAGTATTTGTCTTTATACTGTTTGTTTTTTTTTGTTACTGACTTTATCGCATTATTTTCTGATTCTTCATCTAAAGGGTCGTTATGTTCTTGTGAAGTTTACTGTTTGCTCTTTTTATTCGGGCTGTTTACGTACACAGGGCTCGGACTTTGCATTGTATCAGAGAGAGAGGAGGAAACTTTGTGCCAAATGGATGTTTGTGTTTGATGTGATTGTGATGTGAATGCAGATATCTGTGTGTGAATCAGAATCAAACCTGTGAATATGGACCTTAAAAGAGTTCATCCCTGTGCAGCGTATTCAAGAGGCATTTCTCAGCAAAGCTATAAAGTATGATTTAAAAAGCAGAATGCAACCTTTAGGAGAAGCTCATCTGGTTTCTGATCAGCACATCATCCTGGAAGCTCTTCTTCAGCCGCAGCATCCCTTTAAAGAAAGATGCAGATGGAGAAATGAGCTTTGAAATGTTCAGACTTCTTCCCCAGCGCTGATGTTCAAACACATCATCTTTAAAATGTTTTCTGCATCCAGGATCTTAATAATCATATTTAAGCTTGTTTAGGTTGTTTTTAAATCAATGCTAAATATGTTTTGTATTTTAAAACAACTTTGTGATTGAAGCATTTTTGACTTTCTGATTTGAAATCAGTATTTGTAGATTGATACAAAAAAGCTTTAAACTGAATTTTTTTGCTTCAAGCTAACATCTAAAAATCATCACCTGTGTTTGTTTTTTGGGGAGATTTCCGTATCACCTGTCCTGCTGTGTTCCCTCTGTGCTGCATCTTCTTTTTAGAACATGTTTTCAAGACAAGTTTCCTTTCAAAGCAGAAACTTAAATCTCAGCGTGTTACTGTTTTGTAAGACGGAGGGAAAAGGAAATAACTAATAAATGTTTTAACATCCTTCCTCTTGTCTATTTGTGTCATATATTTACTGCATGAAACCGAAAGCTATTCATAATTTTTTCTATAGATATTCAGCATTTTATTAAGCACCACGTTCCACTGCCGCTCATAGTGAATTCATACCATGTTTTATTTTATACTTTTCTCATTTTACAAAGTTCCAAAGTCAAAAGCTACTAGCCTGAGTTTTCTTTAAAATCAGCAAAAACCTTCAAATAGGACATTTCCATTTCAGTGGAAATTGTTAACTTCTTGGTTTGCTTTATGAATCTTTTAAATCAAGTAGTTTCTTGAACACCTGAACTTTGACTTTACTTAGTTTCAGGAAGTTGAAAAATAAGTATACTAATCACCATTTAGTAACATCAACATGTTTCTCAATAATTTGATGTCATCGACCCAAACAGGAAACTCAAAAGCAGAAACTCTCCCTTCAGATTACATTTTTGTTTTTTTCCAATGGAAATTAGTAGCATTTCACATCAGATTTTTTTTCTTTTTGGCAATGACAAAATTCACATTACTGAACACTCTGTTTAATATTTCTTGTCCTGCAGCTTAACAGATTTGTGTAGAACAGTAGATTCCTGATGCCGTCTCCAACCATATCCACACAAGTATTTTGATGGCTTCTGTGCCCCGCAGTTCCTTTTTTTAATGTTTGAATTTTAATGTGGAGCATTCAGTTTAACTCAAGAAAGTGGATTCTTCGGTCTATTTGTTGTGGATGGCTTATAGGCTCTTCCTCTGTCTCACTAGTGGTACTTATTCTGGGTAACTTAAAAAGGAGCCTGGGTCCTGGTTCTGCCGGTCTTACAATTAATACAGTCGTTAGGAGCTTAATTTCAAAACGCTGATTTTTTGGTCCTATTGTCCAAACTAAGATTTTATTTTCCTTTTTGCAGGATGGTAATGGGTACAGTAATGAGGCCTGGATTATCTGTAGTAGGAGGCATCACAAGCTGGGCTGGAATGTCCACCTGTGTACACGGTTTGGTGTCAAATCGTGCCCATTTCTTCCTTACTGAATTCTCGTCATTAAAATCTGTCATTCTTTTAGGATTCCTTCTCAGGATGTTATTGAATCTGCCCATCTTCATTGCAGCAGTGAATAAATAGAGATCAGCGAATTTGACAGGAAAAAAGGGAAACACATGGGAAATTAAACCGCAAGGACCCATTTTGAGAGCCAAAAGTTTATTCGACTACTGTCACCCATTCCAGGTAGGCAATAAATAGTTCTACTGGATTCACTTTGTTTTAGTCTTTTTCCTGCTTCACAAAGGTAGGCAGCAGCTTGACAAAGCCATGATGGCAATTATTTTACATCCAAGTAGTATGCAGTTCCTCATATATATACACACATCAATTTCAAACAAATGGTATCGGTATCGGTCAATACTGCAAAGCCAGTAATCTGTATCGGGGCCAAAAATGGCATCGGCGCAACACTAATAATTACTAATAAAGTGATAATTAAAAACTGTGTTACAGTCTCTGACCTATAGGGGCTTTCTTCATGAGAGAGCTATATCTTTGTGTTTCAGTTGTGGCTAAAACAGGTGCAATATGTTAGAGCTGGTCAGAAACCCTAAAAAGAGCTTCATACCAAACTGTATTCACACTGGGTTGATACTGTCGCAGAATACTGACACCTGCTGGACCTTTAAAAACACTACAGGCATCTTATTTGATTTTATGATGTATATATATATATGTATATATATATATGTATATATATATATGTATATATATATATATATATATAGTATATATATATATATAGTATATATATATATATATATATATGTTTAAATTGAAGATATTTTTAGATGCAGTCAATAAATAATGTAAACATATAATGTGAAAACTCAGTGGAAGCTGTGAATGTGGATGCTTGTGGACTAGGATTTAGAATCATATTTTTAAGATAATAAGTACATGAAAAACAGTAAATAAAATAAGACTCCATTTGAAATTTTAATTAAGATAAGTTGAGTGATAACTGAAAATCAAATAAAACGCAATGGCTGAAACGTTGCCATTCCTTTTAGGCGGCTCCAAAATTGTTGATAATTGTAATGATAAAACTGAAAAGATGAGACATTTTTTCAGCAGATGCATCATGTTGACAGATCAGTTTTTAAACACAGTTTAGTGAGTCAGTCCAACAACTCCTGTATCAGTTACATGTCTTTCTTCAAACAACACATGCACAGATTTTGCTCTATAATAATTAAAAAGAAATAAATCGAAAGATGGCAAAAAACTTGGGATGAAGATGAGAATGAAAGAAGATTATATAGGGTTCAATCAGACTAAGAACTGGACACACCTACTTTAATGAGTTATTGTTTATATTAGGGAAGAGAAACAATGATTTATGTGAGGGTTGTGAAGGAAAAGAAAATATGGATCATGCTTTGATGAACTGCTATAAATATGCAACTGAAAGAGAGGATGAGGGAAGTAATTAGGCAAAAAAAAGGAGAAAATTTAACATTAAAGGAATTTTAGCGACAGATGGAGATAGGGATGAAATTAGGGTCATTAATAAAGCATTATTTTTACATAACACAAAATAAAAAAAAAATAGAAGGTGGAACCTTAAGGGTACACACTCTTGTACAGTAGGTGGCGGTACGCACCTAGAAGTTGCTTGCAATCCGCCAATCAAATGAAAGAAGAAGGATTTTGCTCTATGGGCTCGACGCATCGCTGTTGCTGGACCAGTTGTCGCTACCTTATACTTAAAACTACATATCCCATGATGCATCCTAACGGAAGTGTCCTATCTCGAATTGAAACGACTAGTTGTTACTGTTTGAACTTTTAAGGCCGCTAAAACGCGTTTTGACTTACATAGCCCATTCAAATTGAGTATTTTGCTTTTATACGAGTGGTTGTACTCACGGAAATGTTAAAAAGGTATTTTAGGGATCGGAAAGTAAAGTTTTGTAATGACTTCTACGCTTATTTTTAGTTAGCATTAGCATGTAAACTAGGCTAAGGGGTTGCTAACAGTTCCGGCGTGGGAAGATTTATATTGGGATGTTTTTTCCAGATTTATTCAAACATGAATTGAGTTTTATTCGCGGACAAATCATTCTACAATCGTTTATTTAAATAGAAGCAAAAGGAAGCTAATTTTGCTAAAGGAAGACTCCTCCGGTTGAGCAGAGCACAGCCATGACCCTCGCTCCGAAGGAACTGACCAACCTGCTGAGCATCATCTCAGAGGAGGCCTGCTCCAACACCTTTGAGAGCCTCTCCACCCACTTCCATCATTACTTCGGGAAGGCAGAGCACTTCAGAGTGGGCTCGGTGCTGGTGATGCTCCTTCAGCAGCCCGATCTGCTGCCCAGCTCCCCGCAGCGGCTCACCGCCCTCTACCTGCTCTGGGAGATGTACAGGACCGAGCCTCTGGCTGCCAACCCGTTCGCTGCTGTATTCGCCCACCTGCTGAACCCTGCACCCGGGGAGGAGCAGGAGAAGGTGCTCTCAGGTACAGATCTGGTTGGTTTTTCACAAAACTCCATGAGATGAAGAGAGTGTAATGAGATTTTAAATCATCAAGAGGATAAATGTAATCTTTAAGATGTTAGCATTAGTTATTTTGTCCCGTGTTTCATCTAAAATTTTCTCCATTTGGTCTATTTTAGGTTTCTTGCCCCCCATCACCCAGCCTGAGAAGTTCTTCCTCTCCCAGCTGATGCTGGCACCGCCCAGAGATCTGTTCAAGAAGACGCCCAGACAAGTGTCCTGCATGGACATCACCAACATGCCCCAGTCCATCGACATCAGTGGGCTGCAGCTGGCGCTGGCAGGTCAGCCAGCATCATTCCTCACTTGTTTGGATCCCAGCATTAAAAGTCATGAATAAACCTAGCCTAATAAACTAGTCCCTGCCGCCAGCGGCCAAAATCATCTTTGTCTGTGAGTTTGGTCGATCAATGCCCCAGGCCCTAGAACTGGCTGACCAATCACAATGCAGAGATGTGATTTGAATTTCTGGATGAGGGCATGATGACAAAGCTGTGCGACGCTGGAGAAAGCACAACAAGGAAGATGGCAGCAACTATTGAACAGTTCTCGTTTTTATTCAGCTTTGGAATCAGTTTTGGAAGGATTAGACTTTGGGTTTTTGTTGAAACGTGAGCAGGAAGAGGCTCAACGCTCATTCATTTTTAAGAAGGACGTATTCGCGGTTTTACCGACAGGCTGTTTGTTTACACTCCCCCACCAGCTTTCTGTTGCGATTTTTTATCAGAATCAGATTCAGAAATTATTAAAGTATTTCTGATTCTGATGACTACGTCACAGTCAATTGCACTCATTAGTCAGAGCGTTGGCCAATAGGCACAGACATGGTTTGAAAAACAACCGGTTGTTCTCATCAACAATCTTCCGATGTCTCATTCATCGGGGCCAGACTTAATTACACATTTAATCTTGCATTTAGTCTGGTTTATCAGGCTAGAATAAACCTTGAAGAACTGATTTGTTTTTCTGTTTTAGTTTCACCTCATCCTGAATGTTTTCTATGTGTTTTTCATCCTGCAGAGCGTCAGTCAGAGCTCCCTACCCAAAGCAAAGCCAGCTTCCCCAGCATCCTGAACGACCCCGATCCAGACTCCTCCAACTCAGGCTTTGACAGCTCTGTGGCCAATCAGATCATAGAGTCTTTGGTCACAGGGCCACGCCCTCCCCTGGAGAGTGAGTGTTTGGGACAGAGTTCAGTTGATTTGATGTGTTTTTAATAACCCTCCTGTGGTGCGAAACGCCTGTATGTTGAAAGCGGCTGATAAATCGGCAACAAGTTCACTGTTCAGTAAAGTGATAAATTCTGATCAAGTGTTTTCTACTCAGGTCACTTCCGGCCTGAGTTCATCCGGCCTCCGCCCCCCCTCCATGTTTGTGAGGACGAGCTGGCGTGGCTGAACCCCACCGAGCCGGATCACAGCATTCAGTGGGATCGCTCCATGTGCGTGAAGAACAGCATGGGTGTGGAGATCAAACGCATCATGTCCAAGGCCTTTAAGAGCCCGCTGTCCGCCCAGCAACAGTCACAGGTAGGTCACCCCTGCATCATGGCGGAGAGGGGTGTCATTTAGCACAGACGCCACAGGACAGAATGTCCTTTACAAAAAAACGAAGGGAGCATCAGCTGCATGTTTCTGATTAACAAGATCCCTAAAAAATAAACTCATAACTTCATATTCAAATTCTGAAAACTATGGATGTAGTTACCTTGACTTTCTTTTCACTTGCTCCAATTTCTAGTCTGTAAAGCATTAGCTTTCTGATTTCAGAGATCCATTTTCTCTTTTAGGACTAAGGAAACATAAAAATGGTTCTCTTGAAAGCTTTCCTGCCTTGAGCAGTCAGTGGTCATTTATCTAAGAAGCAGAGGCTTCTAAGAAATTTTGCCTTTCTGAGTCTGTGAAGGCAAATCTGTGTTTTACATGGTCCAAAATTGTGTCATAAAACCTAAAAAAAAATAATGTACCAGTTTAATAATGGAGAATCTATTTTATATCTTTTTAATACATAAAAAATAATTATTTCCTGAAAATGTGTTTATTTAAGAGCAACTATGCAAAGAAAAAAAAAACAAGCATCTAGAAAAAGGACACTATGTAATATTATTTCCCATGTGGATCCCAGATTGTTCATTCTTCTTTGCCTTTCTAAAACATGCTTTAAATCAGTCCAACCTGACTTTATCCATGCTGGGTCAGATCCTAATGTTTGAAAAAGGAGGCAGAGAAAGCAGAATAAAGCGTTAGCCTCCCTTCATGCAGTTAGCCAAGCCTTCTTGCTAAACCAGCTCCTGGAAAAGGATGTTTCTTGCGCTCTCTCTCTTTCTCTCTCTCTCTCCAATCCGACTAAAAATTATGCTTTACCTCTGATTAAAGATCAAATATTTATCTTGTACAACTAAAAATACATAGCAAAATATTTCGAATTATTTTAGATTTTAATTTAAAATTGAATCATAAAAATCAGGGTCGTTGAGTGGGGGGGGTGGCGTCCTCTATTGGCCACTGAGGGACGATAGTTTTTTGAAAAGCCTGTTTTGTTAAATCTTGTTGCAGTGTCTTATTTTAGCTGTAATTTTTCTGCCTGCAGCTGCTGGCTGAACTGGAGAAGGACCCCAAGCTGGTTTACCACATCGGCCTGTCGCCGGCGAAGCTGCCCGACCTGGTGGAGAACAACCCGCTGGTGGCCATCGAGATGCTGCTGAAGCTGATGCAGAGCAGCCAGATCACAGAGTACTTCTCAGTGCTGGTCAACATGGACATGTCTCTGCACTCCATGGAGGTTGTCAACAGGTGAGACGACGGTTTACTGCAGAAAGGAAACAAAGGCCAGAAAAACCGCCTGGGTGTCGATTTAAAATTCATACTTTCCTAATTGGATTTCTGGTGTTAAAAACATTTGTTTCTTTTTTTTTTAGTTACCTGAATTACACAAATGTATAGTTATGTAACAGCAAATTGATAAAATAATAAATGTTGGCTGTAGGGACTAGCCTGGACAACCAGACACAGGACGGTCTGATGAGGCATAATGCTCTCAATCAGACCGGACCAATCAGAGCGCAGGAGGAGGGCCCAGAATGTTGCAGTACGTCTCTGTATAAATAACAGTAAAGATTGCTGCACCAACGCTGCATGACAGTTTAGCCTAAGAACATGCTGGCCAACATTTGATATGAAAGTTGTTTAAAAAAAAAAAAAGAGTCTCTAAGATTAGTTTGAGTTATTTAACTTTTCAGCCAAATCCGTCAGGTCTGGATTACATTCATATAAACTGCAGACTTAAAGGTATTGTGGAGGATTTTTGTGAATTTCTTAAAAAGACTCTCCACTTTAAAAAACAATGAACGTGTGAGAGCGTGCAGGAGCCCATTTCGCCTCGTGCACACTTTAAAAGTCACTGTTTTTATAGCTCATACAAGCTTACTGTGTCTGAATGTCCGCTCTAACCCCGAAATCCCTCAAATGCTACATAGAGCGGGGACTATATAGTGGACTTTATGTTGACTTAGTAAACTCCTCCTCCTGCACGCGGTGCTTGCCTCATCTTTGTTGTTAGTAGCTGCTGTAGGTTAGCGACAGCGGGCTGCTGTGACAGTGAATCCTATAATGCTTTCGGAGGATAGCTCATTCTGGGATATATCTGCCTCTTCTAAGGCCTTTCTTTTCTTAAACACCCTCGTAGACACTTTTTCTCTTACAACCCTCGGCCATTTTCAAAGAACGGCGATGAGAAAGGTGAGCTTCATTGACTGTCTGAAACCGTAGCTCACCACAGATATACGCCTGAAAGTGCGCACACGCAGAAAAAGATCGCTAACGGGGCGAACACGTAGGACGGCCTTACGTAAACATATCACCAGAATGATTGACACGTAGGAGGACCACTTAGACGATCCACCCGGACATACAAGATTGTCCTCTATACCTTTAACTCATGGTTTAATGATTTAAAATGTCTCATCACCTCTAGATTCTGCTTTACATTTTAACCTGATGCTGTTGGTAAAACCTGCTGAGAAGAAATGTAACTTTAGGTCCTTTGAAACTTTTTCATAATTTTTAACCGTTCAGGGTTACTGGACCGTATTTAATCAATCTCTGAAGGAGATATTTAGATTTTTTCTTTCTCTTTCCTCATTCATTCAATCAGATTGACCACAGCTGTGGACCTTCCTCCAGAGTTTATCCACCTTTACATCTCTAACTGCATCTCCACCTGTGAGCAAATCAAAGACAAGTACATGCAGGTACGTCCATCATCAAACCTTAATCAGGAGTGAATGTGATAGATCAAGTAGAGCTCTGTAAGGGAGAAGGACAGACTTATTTTCCACATGAAACATTTGTGAACAAACGGCTTGATGCAGAGCAGAGCCATTTGTGTCTCTGCAGTGTCAGGAATGATGCCGTAAAGAAGTACAAGCAGAGTTTTTTTGTAAAAGCAAAGTTTGTTTCTGACTAAGCAAGAGGAGAAAAAGACTGTAACCTACATAAAAATGGTTGAATTTATTAAACAGAGTAGGCAAGAAAGAATGAGCTGCAGAGATCCTGCAGAGTTACTGCTGCTCATCTGGAGAATCATCAATGAGTTAATTATTCAGCTGTCCTGTTTTCTCCAAAGAAAATACTGAAATCCATGGTGATGATGCTCAGAGGTGTGAATACTTCTGGAAGCCATTATCTCTGGTTCCCTCACGTTCTGTGTCTGTATGTTCCAGAACCGGCTGGTCCGACTGGTCTGCGTCTTCCTCCAGTCGCTGATCAGAAACAAGATCATCAATGTTCAGGACCTGTTCATCGAGGTCCAGGCCTTCTGTATCGAGTTCAGCCGTATCCGGGAAGCCGCCGGCCTCTTCCGGCTCCTGAAGACTCTGGACACCGGAGAAAACCCATCTGAGGCCAAACCGGCCAAATGAATGCAGATCGACAGAGACGTTGCTCTGACGGAGGGACATGTTAGAAACATGGCTTCCTTTAGGAGGCTCACTATAAAACCTGTGACTCAGACCTGGATCCACCTCACTGTACTCAGAGTAAATAGTGTAAATATGTATTTTTTTATCTGACACTCTTCTGACTCATATCTCACCAACTGCAGTTTGACCTATTTTCTCTCTTACAAAAGTAAAGAACTCGTCCTCCTCCTGAATTTTGTTTAATGTCTTTTGATTCTGAGCTTGTTACTGAAATATTTTCTGAAACCTGTTAGAGGAAAAAAGCTTTGAGAAAATTGGAGCTGCACGGACGAGTCTGATCACTAACCAGCGCTTCAGATGATGTCCGATCGTTTGAATCACCAGCATGATTAAAGGAGTCGAAATAAAAATCAGATTTTCCATGAATAAAAACAGAAGATCTGAGTCCAGAAAGCAGCTAAGCTTAGAAACCAAACGGGTTTATGAGACCAGATTCAGCTTTTCTGTCACATTTCAAGGTTTTAGCTCAAACAGGTTTAATTTCAGATGAGACGTAATTCTCGTGTCATTTGCATCACTGGAGGAATTTCAATTCATTCTTATTTCCTTTTTTTTTTTTTTTTCGACACATTAGAGACTTAAAGGATAAATGCTGTGATTAAGCTTATACCTCCAGATTTAACTAGACCAGAGATCTTCAACCTGTAAAAGCACCAGAAATATGATTTTAGAGTTTCTCCTTTTAATTAGCTTCAAAATTGTGTTTTATTATCATTCACTTTAGCATCAAATAGTAGCCTATAGAAAATCTATTATTCAGCTTTATTAGTTTTGGGGGTTTTTTTGTATTTTAAAAGCTTAAAATACATTTAAGCTGTTCCATTTCCCAAAGAGAGTTTACTCAACCTCTGTTTCTGTTACAATAGTAACATTTTCCCCAGAGCGAACCTGGTTGTGAGCAGGTTTTCCTCAATACTCTGTCCTCTGTCTCCGCTCTCCTTAAGCCAATCACATCGTTTTAATTCCTGATTTATTCAGGAGAGTGTCATCATCTTGTATGAACAATAAAAGGCAGTCAGTAGGTCCATTAGGCATATTGGGTGTTAAAAACACAAACCTAGCATGTCCATTTGACAAGGATCCAATTAAAGAATGATCAGCATTAATTCAGAGTATTAAATTTAAAAGAAGGTTCTCAGACTGCATTTAAATGTCCTTTATATTCAGGTAACTGCAGCTACCGATTAACCTCACAATGTCAGACTGCACAGTCAGGCGCTTATTTACTATTAAATGGAAGACATAAATAAAATGAGGAATCCCATGAAATGATGCTCATGTCCTACCTGTTTGAACCACTTTTATATACTCCGTCTTCACCTGCTGACAGGTGCGCTTCTTGCCAATGACATTTCACCTAAATAGATGCATCGATCCACTGCCATTGGATCACTAAATACATTTTTCTCAGTAATGTTATCGTAATTAAAACAGGCTATGGCAGGCCATTTAGATATTTATTAGCTTGTCTGAATAGGTATTTTTGATATCTGAAATACATTTTTCCTTGTCTAAATGAACTTTTTAAATAAAATGACACTTAATTTCTAAGAAAAACATTCTGGATGTCTTAAAATTAATTCATGATCTCTATATTCCTATTGTTACTGGTTGTAATTTGTATTATTATGATCAGAAAGAAACATCAGATATAAATACATATTCAGTCAAGCTGATTCATGTCCAAACAGCCGCTTAAAATGTATAAAAATTTCAAGGTATATATTAAAACCTACACTTACAAACATATTAAGGCTGTTCCATGTGGCAGGACTTTAAAACTGGCAGGTTATTTAGAGACAGATAATCTCTGTTTAACTTTGTATTGGGAGAAAAATAATAATGTCCTGGCTTTAATGCTAACCTGTAAGCAGTTTGAGATTTTATAAGAGTTTTTTATGAAAGAACATCAACAAAAACATCCGGGGAAGCAGTGGACCACTCCTCACTATGAAGCTGGTCCTTGGTTCGGCATCAGACACATTTATGGATCACACCTGATTGAAATGATGGTTCATAACCAGAGTATCCCCAGAATATCTGATTTAACCCTTTAAATCATCTGTATGATGGTGGGGACACATCTGGAACAGAGCCTGCTGCTGTAGCTGCTCCTCTGAAGCTCTGAGGTCTGGATGGCCAATCACCTAAACCTTGTTTATTAAAGAAGCCATATTCAGAATTCAAACTTCAGAAAAAGAACTTTACATATAAAACTATTACATACTGTTCAATAAATGAGAAGGGCTTTTAATTAAGAGTAGTTTTCATTTGAATGTGCTTTACTGGAAGCATCCAAGAACACTACTGCCACCTACTGGTTTGTGACGTCACGTGGCGGTATCAGCAGTTGAGCAAGTCCCAGAGCTGTATCTGGTGTTTGTCACAAAGCGCCATTATCCAAGTCATCTTGCAAACATTCTTCTTAGAAATGTTGGCTACATCTACATGTTTTTTTCTCTGACCAGCAGTTCTATGGCGAATCCTTCTCCTTTAATGGCTGCCTTGCTGCTGGAGGGAGAGGAAGAACGTTCCTGTCCACCACTCAACCTCAGCCTCCCTTCCACCTCTTAGATGGACTTTGTTTTGGATCCTACCATCATATTTCTACCATTCGCAGTGATCAATTCTACCAGGAGTTAAATGATGGACTGTCTGTGATCTGATCTGCAGCAGCTAAATTACTGCTTTTAGTTTCTACCTGCAGGATACAGTCACACAACAACAATCTTCTAATAAAAAAGTCTCTTTATTTGGTTTATACACTTGTGAAAAGCTGTAAATCAATGATGGAGTAAATTTGCTCTGGACCGGAGTAACAGGAACTCATGTTTCGAGCTGTACAGCTTTGGTACTGAAAGATAAGACTTAGTGAAATGAAATGGAAGTAGAAATTCTTCATGTTTAAAAAGCTAATATGGCACCTTTAAACTGACAAGTCAGATCAGCTGGACCCAAACAAATAAATAATACTGAGTTTAAATCTGAAGCCTTAGATTCCTTCCTGAGGCGGCATCAGGTAGCCATGGGTGATCGGCCTGGTTGGACTGGAACTTTTGGAGGGATTTGTTCTCTATGTTTTAGGCAGAATCTGACTGAGTTTACAGATGTTCAGAATTAACTTCATATCCCTTAAAGAAACGTTTTAGACGCAAGATTAATTCTGCTTGATGAGCGTCGACAGAAATCATCTGAGTCCGGTCCGTGTTTAAGGAAATGACATTTAGAAATCTAAACGTATGAAAATGTAACAGACTGTTTTTAAAATGTGTCAGAGCCTGCATGCTTAGAAAGAAAAGAGATCTTCGCTCGGCTCTCTGGTTCTGGATGCGTCGGGTCAGCGGTCCGGTCCCTCTAGGCCCTCCTCATGCCGCGCGCCATCAGGCAGGCGAACACCGTCATCACCATTTTAGGCTTCACCTCCACCAGGTCCTCTGGGAGCGCGTACACGCGGGCGCCGATCTTCCTAGCCATGGAGATGGCGTACCTGGTGGCAAAAATTTCACAGCTCAGGTTCTAATGTGACCTAAATCGGCCCTCAGACCTAAACCCATGGAACTGGCTATGATTTAAATCTGCTGCAGGGAACACAAAAACTCTCTTCCTACTTTGCATTGTTGAGTTTCTCCTCCTCTTTCAGGTCTTCGGTCTTCAGCAGGTCGTATCTGATGGATCCGGGCTGGATGGCGTCGATCAGATCCAGAACCGGTATGCTGTTGCTAATAGACATGTCCTGGACAGACAGAAAACTTTTATGTCAAAACAACTAGAGTCTCATTGGATCCTTCATAAGAAACTAGAAATTTTCTGGAATGTTTTGGTGAACGGTACCGCCATTTGCACCTTGTTAGATCTTCCAAACTTAAGCCAGAAGTTTTACCTTAAAGCTGGAGATGGTGCCTTTTCCAGCATTTGTGAGTGTTCCGTTGACCCAGGAGACGATGGTGTCATCCACCACTTTCTGTCCGTCGCCCAGATCCTCCAGGATGTTGAGTGTGTATCTGAGGAAGAGACGGACGACGTGGAGGAGTCTGACCTCATGCTGCTAAAGATGCTTAAAAAGTCTCCAGATAATTTTGTTACCTCCTCATGAGCTGCCAGAGCAGAGCCAAAGTGAGGGTTCGATTCCCTGCATTTAGGTCTTGACCGGCAATTCCAACCAGAGAGAACTTGGCCTCCTTCTTGCCGAGCTCCACTGCGTAGTTACAGTTCTCCAGCTGAAAACCAGACAGCAGGTCATCCCTTTAGGAACCTTCTACATGATAACTGGAGCAGACAAAGTTTCCTGCTCTACCTTTTTCATGTTGCTGCCAAGTTTAGGGTAGGGAGGCTTGTTGACTCTGTCCCAGTCTACTGGTACTTTGATCTTCTCGTACAGCTGGAAGATAACCAGGGCATCATCGATGTCTCTGTAACAAACGGGAGACGTTAGTCTCTGGGACATCCAGCTGGGTGGCTGACAGGCCGTGGAGCTTTCTTACGCATAGAGGTGGTTGACGCGAGGGTTGACGCCCAGAGAGTTCATCCAGTTCCTGAAGGTTCGCTCCTCCCGGGTTTCACCTGCAGGAAAATGAGTGGAAAAGGATCAGGCCTCCACAAATAATCTGAAACACCAGAGAAGATGGGAGTCTCTGTCTGAAAGAGAGGAATGACCTTCGATGGAGCTCCAGTCGATGTCCTGGTTCTCTGGCTTCTTCAGAGCTGGGTACTTGTTGAACAGATTGGCAACAAAAGCCAAGTTGAGCTTGGGGTTGCCGCGGACGACGTCTGCGGGCATGACGAACTGCCTGCAGCCAAGCTTGTCGGCCTCATCCAGCATGCACTCGGCCCTCTTCAGGTCATCTTTCTCCTGCAGAGGCAGCAAGAGGTGGGGGCTAAGAGAAGCGGCGGTCTCTTTGTTTCCAACGTTTCTGATTTGCTGATCAGTCTTACCCTGATTCCTGACATGTCCACAGCGATGGGGGGGATTCCCTCCTCGTCTCCTTTGGGGGCCACCTGGTTCAGGATGTTGTAGTACGCCTTAGAGTCCTGGAAAGACCAATTTAAGTGTTACTACTTCAACCAGACTCATGTCAGCTTCTAACAAAGTTATTTTCTCTGACTGTTCACGGTAGTCTGAACATCTGACATTACCTCACAATATTTAAGCAGCTGGAACAACAGAAAGTAACAATACCCCTAAAATCCACTGCAACCAGATGCCTTGAAAACATCTAGTTAGTCAATAAACACTGGGAAGTTTAATTTGGAGAGCCTCAGTGTGAAAAACTGGAGGCTGAGGATAACTGAGGAGCTGCAGAGATCCACGGCTCAGGTGGAAGAATTTGTTAACTGCTAGTCAAAAAAACCTGAGCTTTATGGAAGAAAGAAGGAAACCATGTGACTGTCTAGTTAGACGTTTGCCAAGAGTCATGGTGGGCACTCAACAAACGTAGTAAATAAATTTAAGATTATTTCACATCACCCAGAACACCTGCTGTAACATAAAACGATGGCAGGATTATGCTGTAGGAAGTTCAAAGGAGAAGTCCGGTCATGTTCAAAATTTAAACTTCTAAAAGGACTTTAAATATGAAATTATTACATACAGGTTAATAAATGATAAGTGTTTTTAATTAAGAGTCATTTTCATTTGAATGTGCTTTACTTCCATGTTTGTCAAAGAACACTACTGCCACCTACTGGTTTGTAACATCACGGTGCGGTATCGGCTGTTGAGCAAGTCCCAGTGCTATATCTGGTGTTTGTCACAACGCGCTATTATCTAAGTCATCTTGAAAACCTTTATAAAACGAAATGTTGGCTACATATTACGGGTTTTTTCTCTGGCCAAAAGTTCAATGGCAAATCCTCCCTCTACAAGTTGGCAATCCAAAGATAAACCCGTCCGTGGAGGATCATGAATTGGAAAGGTGAAATAACACATTTTTTTGCACTCTACCCGATTTATTGCACATCCAACTGTCATTCACGTGCGCATTTTCAGTTTAACTATAGCTCTGGTGAATTAAAATGGTGAAGTCCTCTGGAAATCTTCATAATTGTTGTTGATTGCAGATGTGTCTAGTAGTTCCCATTGATTTTGCTTGTAAAGCGGGGAGAATGGCGCTAGGCTTACCGCACCGTGACGTCACTGCCGGAAAATGTCAGGAGTGAGGTGTTACTATATTTGGGCAAAAATGGCCGCTCCCAGACTCAGTGATCGCAAAGAAAATTATTGTTTGTATTTTTTACTGATTACAGCTAAATTGATTAAATCACCTCAAACATATTATTTTTAGGTTTAGATAATGATCCATTGATTATTCCTTGCTGACTGGACTTTTCCTTTAAACTAATTAACAGACCATCTGTGAAGGAGGCCCCTAACAGATCTGAGGTTGGGATAAAGGTTGGCCTTAGCAGGACAAACCCTTTAAATGTCCAGTCAGAGCTGCAGCTGAACATTTTAGATCAAAGCATGTTTATGTGTTAGAATGGCCTCGTCAAAGTCCACACCCACATCCAAGAATTTTTTTGGCAAAATTTGAAATTGGATGCTTAGTCTGACTAAGCTGAAGGTTGGGAAGAAAAGATCAAGCTAAATGTTGCAAAGTTGGAAGAGGTATTCATAAAAAGACCTGGATCTACAGAGCAGCGACCTACTGCTGCTCCATACGTATGAATTCCACACTTTTCAGATTTTTATAAAAAAAATGATAAAATAAAAATCCACCAAAGTTTGTGGTTGTTTTCGTGGGATCCATTCAGGCCTCTGCGTCTCGCTCTCTATTCTCACCTTGATGTCTGAGCTGAAATTGTTGATCTTTCCGCAGCCGGCCTCCTCCAGGTGGTAGTTGGCCCAACGCAGCAGCAGCTCCTCAGGGGAAAGCTTCATCAGATCCTCCAGACTCTCTCCATCCCGTAACAGAGCAATCAGGGCTGCATAAACAATAAAAGAAATATTGTAATAGTGGGATCTACAGGCTGACTGGACACGTTCAAATGGAAACAATCCAACATAATGATTCAGGTTCAACCTCAGATCCACATGAACACCGACCTTCATTCCTGCTAAGCTCGATGTCGGCAAACAGGCCGATCTTGATGACCTGCCACAGCAGACCCAGGACCAGATGCTGCCTGCCCTCCTTCAGGTCCTCGGCCCCGATGTTGACCACGTGGCATCCGATGGCCGACGCAGAGTTCAGAGCCAGGTTCAGGTTCTCCTGTCAGGCCAAAGGACGCAGCAGGGACATGTTCAAGGGAAGCTGCAGAAGTTTGAATAAAACTGGACATAGGAATGAAGCCGGAGTCTTACCTGGATGGTGAAAGGAGTGAGCTTCTTCTTGTTGATGGTTCTCTCATCGATGGTGTCGGGGACTGACAGGTTGATCATTTTACTAACAGGAGAGAAGGAGCACATTCAGGCTGATTTCAGTCAATTAACCTAAAAGTTTGAGCATTTAGAGTGTAAAGTACCAGACGACGATTCCATCTCCCATCCCGGTGAACAGGTCGTCAGTGTCGGGATTCATTGGGAGAACATGTTGACAGTCTGGATCCTTCTCCAGAGCTTTGTTGATCCAGTTCACAAAAGCCACCTTCTCCTCCTCTGCAGACGGAGAGAATCAGACATCAGACCCCAGATGACGGCATGATCAGCATCACAATCACACACTTTGAAAGAGACGAGAGCTCAGAGGGCAAAGGCCCCTCCCTCTGTGTGAAAAGTATTACCTGAGTATGAGTGCTGAGTGCCGGACTGCTCTGAGGTTCCTGCCACGTTACGAATTCCTTCCTTCTTATTGATGGCTTTCCTGAAGGTTTTGGCCACTTCAGAGCTCTTTAGACCGTGGACAATCTGAAACCAAGAAAGAAAAAGCTCTAAGTCTGACAGAACAGTGATGAGCAAATGTGGGGAAAATGTGTTTTCTCTGTGGAGTTGCTTACCTCAGTGAACTCCTCGAAGGTGAGTTTGTCGCTGGTTTTGGTCAGCTCCTGGACGATCTCCCTGATTCTGTATCCCGGCAGAGCCAGGTTGGCAGCCCTGAAGAGCTCGGTGAGCTCATCCTTGCTGATGAAGCCATTGCCGTCCACATCTGACAAAACGAGAAGGAATCCGGTTGTCAGGGTATTATTGAAATGGATCAAACAAAGCAGTTTCAGGGACCAAAGTAAAAAATAATCTGAAGGTAAGTAATCACCCTATTCTTAATGAGGCATTTAAAGTACTGGATAGTTTGTTGTTAAGAAAACCAACAACAGTTCCTTCCTTACCCTTCCTCTATTGAAAACACAAGAGGAAATGAGAGCAACAAAGTTTGATCCTCTTACCAATTTTGGCAAAAGCTTCTCTGAGATCTTCCATCTCCTCAGCAGAGATCGGTGTTGTGGCCATGGTGGCAGCTGGAGTCAGATGTGGACCTTAAAACTGACCAAAGCAGAAACACACAGAGCTTTAATAAAAAGCTACAATGGGGGGTGTGGTGGGGTTCGGTGGGGCGCTTGTCATTCAGGCCCGACATGCAGAGCAAGTCAGGTTGAAACTAAGTGATGATATCTCTTCATTTAATGCTGTGATGAAAGGCCTTCACAGTTCTCACTTTTGCCACTCTGAAACTTCCTCCTTCTGCAGCACTTCCTGTCTGAAAAACAACACTTCTTTATGTCTTCTTGATGTACACACCATGGCGTCAACCAGTGGACAGATAAAGCACACATCCTAAAAGAGTCACATTACAAGAACAGTTCCTTAGGAACTGGACCAAGATCTTTTTTTTTTTTTTTTTTACACATTTTCCATTTTAAAAATACTTCCTCTCTGCTTGGTGGTGATTTGTTTATCCCCAGCGGGTCTCTGATCAGAAGCAGCAACACAAAAATAAACTGAAATCTACCTGATTATTACAGAACTTTATAGTTAAAAAACTCCAACTACAAAGATTGATCAGCGTTTTTTTAACCATGGTAAGAGCACTAACAGATTTATTTATACATGAGTCATGCTTTTTTATTAGACTATGATGTAAGTAGCGCCCCCGCAGCTGCATTTTAGTGGTGCTCAGAGGAAATGTTGGTAACAAGTTAAAATACATTAGGCTGACATTAGCTTTAAAAACAGTAAAATCATGTTTGTCCGTTGTTTTTTTTTTTTTTTTTTGTGGGGGGGGGGGGGGGGGGGGGGTGGGGGGGGGCATGTTCTCTGCAGTTTTTCAAACGTCCATTTTGGTCCCCTGCATGTTTTACTTCTCAAAAACAATGTTACACTACCGTAAGACATTTGTCGAGCACTAGGACCAAGCGGAAACAGCTCAAACTGAAGCCTGCTTCCCTGAGTTTAGACCGCCCATAAGCTCCTGATTGGCCAACCATCTTTCTTGTGGCATTGGCTGTCATCACTGTCACTCCTGAGGAGCTCCCTTTACAAACATCTGATGCGCCACAGTCACAGTTTGTGATTGGACGGTCAAACACGCTGAAGATAGTTTTATTAAAGAATACCTGCAACCCCCCACTTCTGAAATCAAAATTTCATCCATGGCTGAAATAAAGGTCTGTTTTAAACAAATTGAGATTATTCTGGAGGACCAGGATCAGCAGAAACTGAAGCAGATGAACCCAAAGAGTGGGTGGCGTTACATTAGCTAGAGGGAACATGCTAACTGCAATTAGCTATACAATTTAAAATTGTCTCTGGTTTTCGGCTTAAACACAAACTAAACATGTTGGGAAATAAAGGTTGATAATTTATTATTATAATAAAATACACATTCTCAGTGGTATAATAAAGTGTTAAGGCGCTAGTTTGAGTTAGCACATGGCGGCCATATTGGATTTTGTTCTTCTGGATCGTATTGGGAAACCTTATTTTTTAACTTGTAGCTCTGACTTCAGTAGAACTTTCTATTTCTCCTTTAAACCTGGAACTGGGATTACTTTTTGGTCGAACAGGGTATAGGACGTTCTTTGGTTAACTAGTTAGCCAAAAAAACAGGAAACAGTCAACTTCATGTTGCGCAACTTAAAAATAAGAGCAAAGTTATGTTTTTCTAAAATAAATGTGAATCAAAGAGAAGTGTAAAAAAAAAAAATCAGCAAATGTGCTACCATGAAAAGGATTTCATTGTGTTCAGCCTTAAATTAAAACAGATCACTCAGAGAATGACTTAATTAGAAAGCCACAGAGGAAGACCTGTTTTAAACATAAATAATCTGATCTGTACATTTCATTAGGAATATTGACACCGGAAAGCAAATGTGAAAGACTGTTACTGTCCTGGTGAGAAATTTTCAGTTGCTGACAGTGCAGAGCTCAGCCTGCAGCAGACACTGGAACATCACAATATTGCTGCAGAAAAGTAGAAGTGCAATAGCTTAGATTTAGTTTTGTTTTATTGTTTTTTTCTGCTTGACCCATTTTTTTTTTTATTTTCTACTGCAATATTGGTTGATACTATCTGTCATCATAAAGAGTCATAAAATCTAAATGTCAGTTCAGAGAAGAACTAAGATTTCTTTTATCTTGTGCTAAAATCTAAGCTAATGTTACCTGCACACTAACTGATCATACATGTCTGGCTTTTGACCTCTGGTTTCATATTAAAGCATAAAACAAAAAAAAGGCGAGGAAGATGAAACACGTCTAAGTGTGATGGAGCTGATCACATGACACATGGGACATTTTATTTTAGGGTGTGATGATTCACCCTGAATGCGTCTCTGTATTCGCAGATCCTTTTTTGGCAGTTCAGAGGACATTTGAAGCCACCAAAGGGACGACTCTGAGCTCTTCAGCTTCGGTGATTGAACTTCCTGCATCTCTGCAGTGAAGGAAACCATGATGGTGAAACATGATTTAAAAAAGATCAATCATCAGATTAACACTACTGAGCTGAAGGTGAATTTTGGCTCTAAGATGAGACGTTTCTTAGAAAGTGTACCCTAAGACAATACACTTGCTAAACGGTCCTTAAATGCAGATTAGAAGCGGATTAAATCTGAAGAACTGGAGTTTTTACATTCTAACATTTTATTTGTTTCGGGAGTGTCGCATTTATTCAAATGACAAACACCCATTGAGCTCAGTTTTTTTCTTTCCAGGGGTTTAATGAAACCAGAGCTCAGACCAGAAATTATTTGCTAATCAATTAATCTGAGGATTATTCTTTGGATTAACAAACCAATAGCAGTTTGGTTTTTTTTTCAGCTTAAGTGTGAATCTTCTATATCTGCTGGTGAGGATTCTCAGTCATGCAGGTCATAGTCATTCCAAAAAAGTAAAAAAAAAAAAAAAACAATCCACTGGACTTTGTTTACAAGTTTGAAGATGTCCAGGAAGCTATGGGAAGTGAAACATCTTCAAACTTTAAAACAAAGTCCAGTGAATTGTTTTTTTTTTTTTTTTTACTTTTTTTGGAATCTTCTATATCCTTTTATACATTTGCAGGTTAATTTATGCTCTGAGTTTGTTTTCCTTTCAGCAATTTACACTTTTTAGAAATTAAATAATCCTTCTAATGATTAAACACTAAATATATTAGTTTATAATGATTATTTCAAATAATTCTTTTAATTCCTTTTCATCTGTTTCAGACCCTAAATGTCAGAAAGCTTATATGGCAGCTTGACTGATTCATTTCAACAGTTTTGATTTTAGAGCAAGAAGCGCTCGAAGAGGAAGTGCTCCTTTCTGTTGAAATTATATCCTGTCATAACATCCCTGTCAGAGATTCATTTAAATATTTACCCTTTCCTCTTGTATAGCAAGAGGCATGCTAGGAGACAATACCAGTTAGCTAGATGTCAATTTAAACAAAACTGTTTGAGGTAAAAAAGGACGACAAATACTTGATTTTTATTTTTCAGGTTTGGGGCTAAATCTTTCTTGTTGGGTGCGGATTTGTGTGAAGATAAAAACAAGGATAGCCTTAAAAGGAAATAAATATCATCTTGATAATATAATGATAATAAGAAGACACCCATTCAGTGACGTTTTTGGGGACATTTGGCTTCGCTGTCCCTAGCTCTCCAGGCAGAGACAACAGGGAAGTTGTTTCTTGCAGCAGACAGCAGATCAAAAGCAGAAATGAAACCAAGCTCAGCTAAATAGCAGGTCTGACCAGTTTGAACATTTGCTTCTCGTCCGCTTTGAGTGTGAAAACTGAAGTTGTCGGACGTTTAAAATGTGAAATTACTGATTAAGACCAAACTGCTGCTTCTCTTGGGTTTATCTGCTGAGATGATGAAAACTCTCCTGCTTCCAGCCTCTGAGTTTATTAAAACACTGCAACAACAGCTTCTTAAAGCTTTCTTCCCTTTTTACTAAGGATTTAAATAGTCCTGCAGAAAAAAATTTGAGCTGATTGGTGGTCAGTAGTACAGCCTATTCTGCCAGATCTTTGTATTATGGAATAACCTTTACACCAGAATGTTTCATGTTATGTTTATTCCTGAACCGCAGTTTGCCGAAAAGGCCTGAAAGAAGTGAAATTTAATCTAAAGGCTGTGAGTATTTTTTATATATTCAAAGACTGTTTCAGTTTGGGTAGAATGGAGCTGGCTTTGCGCCATCGCCCTCTGCATGCAGCAACGATGAGAGATTTAGACATAAAAATAAAGAAACAGCTGATCACAGTTCTGTCCATTGGAAAAAATATAGTGAGCTTTACTTTCATATAAGATCTGTGTTGAAATAAATGTTTTTAATGAAACGCATCTCCTAAACTGATACCATTCAACTTTTTCACCTTTTTTGGTCTGATACCATGATAAAATGATTCTGCTGGGTTAAAAATGAATGAAATATAACAGACATTGTTTGGATTCCTTCTTGCATTGATAAGGTGAGAGTTAACACATCCAAATATTTATTTGAATCCACTTTCTTCTAGATATTATTTAATGAAGAACAGGCAACAGGGGGAGCTACGACTCATTGAATGAATCAAAGCACCATAGAAGAAGAAAACATAAAGCCTCAGTGAAAAATAAAATGTCTTTAGATCTGGTTGATATTTGCACATTAAGAAACGACCTTTGACTTATTCAGTCTCTGTTTCAATCTGTGGGATATATCTTCTCAGCAAACATGTTTTATTCCTTTAATGCAACCAATGAAATGCAAAACAAGGCAAATGCCTCTAACTAGGTCATGTGACCCACAGTTATGACAGACTTTTTGTATAAAAATGGATTTAAATGTTAAGATCCCTGTAGATCTGCATCTGTTAGGCATCAGATTAACCAGCAAATTTAAAATGCATCGAAGCAGAGGTAGAGTAGTAGATCTAGATCAGTAAACTCTGTGCACCAGGGTTAGTACTTGTGCTAAACATGTGGTACGCCTCTTGGTGATCTTAAATAAGTACTACCAATCAAAGATGAAGTGCTGAAAGTCCTGATCTGGTGCTTCTTCAGGCCCACGCTGCCTTAGAGGAAGTTTTTTCAGTTGAAGCTAAGTTAACCACAAACTTCCTTTCCTTTTAACTGCACCTTCAGCTTCTAGTTCCTCTCCTCGTAGACTTAACTCTGCTTCTAACTGCTCTGATATTCTTATTTATACATGAGCAGATTCTAAATCATTTAAGTAAAACTTGCAGAGGGCTTCGAGAGTAAGCCGTGCATTTCTGGAGTTGCATATGAAAGATAATTTCAAACATAGAAACAAAATCATATAATGTTGAAGAAACTCGGGGTTAAGAATTTCAGGAAGTGTGCAACAATATAAGTCGTATTAAATAGTCAGAGACACATATTCTCTATTTTTTATGCCATTTTTTGAATCCTTTCTGCTGTTTTATTAGAGGAGTTACTTCCCCAGATAAACCTGATATCTGACTTTGATGCCTTCAGACGACACCTGCACCAATGTGCAGCCACCTGATCTCCATCTCCTTACCTGACGGTTGCAGTGAGGGAGCTGATGATGGTGTCCAGGAGGGCAGGGTACAGTTTTCTTTCTTCGGTCCTTCTGGTCGCTGTGCTGCTCAACGCTTGACAGGCACCGCTCTGAATCGGCACAGACTGAAGGGCCTCAGCTCATCTATTCAAATCTACGAGGAAGGAAGTGACATACCACACTTCAGAAACAGGAATCAAAGAGCTTTTGTCTTTATATGGCAATGCACGCGGGCTGCAATTCAGGTGACCTCCAGCAGATAGTTTTACGGAGCTCTGGTGACACCCCCAACTCCATTTGGGGTTGATTGGCGAGGCATTCAGGAGGTCCCAAAAACGTATTCAGATAGAAAGTAGTTCACAGAAAAAAAGATTGGTAGTTATATGAAAGATTTATGAATTAGACACAATTGGATGCTTGAAGTCTGCTTTTGTGTGATTCACTGGTGATTAGTGATGAATAATGATTCATCCATAGAAACAGAGAAGTACAAGAGAACCCAGTCAGGAGATGTAACAGGCCAGACAGAGTATCGATGAATGAGGAAACCCTGGGGAGGCTGACACGGACATGTGAGAGCAAGATATTGTTTTTCTGCTGATTTATTTGCAAATCATCATCCCCTTAAGACGATTTCAGAATAGTTTCAAATGAAAATGGCAAACTTCCATGATCTATCTGATGGAGCAACACAAAAAGGGGCAAAAATAGAAGAAAAACATGTTTTTGTTTTGTTTTGTTTGGTTTTTTTTTTTCAAATAGAAAGCTAAAATTAGTGCCACCATCTGATTAGTAAATGGAGTCCACTTTATACAATTTCATTGTAGGAGAAATACAGGTTTTCAGAGAAGAAACCGACAGCATCCTAAATACTAAGGAGCACCAATTGCATCATAAGTTAAAAGTTCAGATTCTTTGTAAGAAGTAGAAGTACTGATTGACCTTTAATTATGTATAAGTAAATGAATAAAAGGTTCTACTTTGTGCTTAACAACTAAAAAGAAATTATATATTACTTAGCCTTATATAATACTTAGCCATCAAAAAATCTTAAATACCTTTTAAAGTACAGTTAGAAATATATATACTTATTGGTTTTAACTTTTTCTTTGAGTAGCACATCAAGTCAGCTATAAGACTGGAATGAATGAGACCAACACTGAACATCTGACCAACAAATCCATGGTAAAACACGGCAATGGTAGCATCATCCTGTGGGGAGGCTGTTTTCCAAACCTGGCCGGATAGAGTAATATGTCAAGCACTCGGTTTATTCTTAAATACGAGTGATTCACATGTTTTTACTCTTAGGTTTTGAGAGGGGAAACTTATTCTGTACATTATTAATCTGGAGCTACTCCAATCGAATCTGTTCCTGGAAAGGAGGGACGTTCAACAGAACCTTTGGAGCTGATTGGGCGAGGCGATGCCCAGTGCCTGCCTACCAAAATTTCGTTTTAGACAATTAGGGTAACAAATGAAATAACAGCAAATGCCATTAGAAAATACAATAGCTTAACCTTTTATGCTCTTTCTGTTCCTCTTTCAAGGATGAAATCCAGGATTGTGATCAAACAGATGTGAATGGACCTGCTACGTGTTCATCCTCCTCTGCTGCCATTTTTATTTTGGATCCGCTGTGGGCTCAGAGCTATACATCTTAAACAATAATACAAAAACCTGATTAGCCAATCTGCTTTGTGTCTTTCCTGAATGGCTAAAGGATGAGTGGGACAAGACGGGTTGTTTGCAAAGCACCAATATCGTGATTATTCAGCTCACAGGTCCGGTTCCTGCTCTCCATCAGTGACGGGGAGGCTGGTCAAAGCTCATGAAGGCTGGGAATGGTTGAGATAAAAGCATTATCAGGTCTAAGAATGGTCCGGTCAAAGCACAAGCAGATTAATCCAAATGTAAAAATTAGTCACGGTGAACGTATCTGTAAAGATTCTAGAAGAAGCTTCTCCATCCAAGAGGCTTCTTCAGTTAACTGAACAAGGGATGTTCCTAGAGAACTTCACGTCCAGTTGCCTAAACTGAACTTTTCAACCCTGAGTCAAGGAAATTTAAGTTCTTTGATGTTTTTCGTCCAGTTTACAGGAATTGAGGCTAAACTTTCAATAACTGCATATCCCATGTCTCATGGCCTTTCTATTTAACATTTATACTTGGTATTAATCAAAACCCATCTTTGGGAGTGTTTTCTATTTTTGGGGGGATAAATGATAAATGACCTGTACGTATATAATGCTTTTTCAAGTCAGGAGACTTGACCAAAGCGCTGCATTCAGTCATTCACCCATTCACGCACACACTGATGGTGGCAAGCTACAATGTAGCCACAGCTGCCCTGGGGCTCACTGACTGAAGCAAGGCAGCCGTACACTGGCGCGACCGGGCTCTCTGACCACCATCAGTAGACAATTGTCTTGCCCAAAGACACAACGGCTCTGAAAGCCGGAGCCGTGGCTTGAACCATCAACCCTTTGATCTCAGAGCACACAGTTGACCTGAAAGCTTTAAACTGCCAGGAGAGTGAATAGCTTTGGCTCATTCATATCTTCAGGGGGAGTTTCTAAAAAGGCTTACTAAGCATATGACTATAATGAAAAAGTATTTCTTCCTTTTACTAAACATGAGTCCATTGATATGTCATTATTTTTCACTACAAAGTTACGATGCAGTTTTAAACACAAAGACATTGTCGTTCATTCCCTCATGGTGCTGTCATGTTTACAGAAGGTTGGAGGTGGAAATCTCTATGTGCCTCCTGCTAAGCAGAAGCTCCTGTTTCCAACCAATCATCAAACTCCAGCAGATTAAACCCAGCCAGTTCTGTCAGTGGTGCACGGCTCGCTTGATTTTGGTCACGTCAGGTCTACTTTTGAGTCTTTGTTTCACTATAGGTTACTGCTGAGGTTTTCTAAAACCCGTCTGCTGTCGTCTCTGAGCTAACACCATGGGTCCAATATCTTGTCCTTTATATCTAAAAACATTGATGAATCTGTGAAGCTTGGAAGGGTAAATATGCAAAGACTTTCATCATGTCTGCTTACAACATCAGGCTCCTGCAGATGTTACCTAACAGATTCTGTCTGAAGGAGAAATCTACTTCTGCTGCTCAACTATGAGCTCTTAGGCTAGTTTAACGGGTTAGTTTAATTCTTTAAATAACTCTTAGTATAAGAAAAACTAAAACAAGAAGACTACTATTTACGACAGTACCAAGCATCATCAGCATTGTCAGTCTTGTGGTCACCCTGCAGATGGTTCTCTGGTTTCATGTAATATATTGCATAAGGCTTTTACCATTAAAGGGATCTTACTTAATAATATCTTGTTCTTACAACAGTAAAAAACAAAACAGTTATATTATAGGAGCTAGGATTATGAATCAGGTTCAATCTCTGTACTTTCCTTTTAAACTTCTGTTGCTCAAGAACTCAGAGTGAAAATGAGGCAGGATGTTTAAAAATAAAAAATATAAACCAAAAGCATTTTTATTTTTTAATTTAAACCTTAGGAGATTATGGTAAGATTGCATTAGAGTTTCACTTTAATCGCTATAGAGCTCAACTAACATTCTGCAAACAAATTGGGATAAAGAGGGCAACCGCTGGATTCACTGATACACCCTATTATGAGTTATAATAAGGTTTGGATAAAGCAGTAGAAAGACAACTAGAAATCTTCCTAAGGAAACTTTGGAGGTGTCTGCCACTGGGGCATACTCAAGTGTGTACAGTACAGTTTAATTTCAATTCAGTTTATTTATATAGCACCAATTCACAACACATGTCACCTAAAGGCACTTTACAGTTCACCAGATCATACAGTCAAATTCACTCAAAGTTTTCTATCTAAGGAAAACCAGCTGATTGCATCGACTCATTGACCTGAAGGGATTCTCTCACACTAAACATGCTTGTAGCGACAGTGGAGAGGAAAAACCCCCTTTTAACAGGGATAAACCTCACTGTGAGTGGTTCTTTTTTGTGTAATTTTGCAGTTGGAATTAGAATATTACATATCACCTGACATTATCAATATCACATTAAATCTTAGGAAATCACAGACTTTCAAAGTGATCTTACCTTATAAAATGACATCAACCTACTCAGTGTTCTTATCTGTTCATGACCTTTATCGCGACAGTCCACTTTTGAGAAAGCAGGTTTGAATATTAGTGAAACTAGCCAGACATCGTTCTCAGATATCACACGCCTTTTAGGTAGATATTCTGATTTATAGAAAGTTAGACATGGAGCAAAAACAGATTGTTTGTGGAAATGAAACCACTCCAGCTAAACTTTCAAGGGAAGACATGGTTGACCTCCCCATCCAGGTCGACTATGATGCCATTATTTTCCCAATTGAAGAGAAGATGACAGCTCTGTCACCAGCGAGCTGCATCTCAGCCAAGCAGAAGATGGTCCAGATATCCAAGGGGAAGCAGTTTCTTATGGTGCAATTGAGGGTCCCCCCTTGGTGGAGGTTCAACTGAAATCATCTCTTTCTGCTGACTCTACGTCTCTCAGCTCAGGCTGAACAAAATGCCTCTAGAGAAGGGAAGCTAGCAGAGGCTTTTGTAGAAGAACAAAAGCTGAGTGTCATGGTCTTGGTTCTGCTGTTCTTTTCTTTGCTCCTTGTTTTCTAGATTTATTGGCCTAATTCCAGTTTTGTTGTATTTCTAGATTTATATTAGTTCTCATGTTTTTCTGTTGTCCTCTTTTGCCCTCTTGTGTGTGTATGTCCCTTTCCCCTTGGCTCCCTCGTTGTCTCCTCTCACACTTGTTCCTTGTCTGCTCTTTAGCCCTCCCTTTGTCTCTCTCTCCTATATATGCTCTCCCTCTGCTCTCACTCTTTGTTGGTTCCTTGTCTTTGCTGTCCTCCCATGCTGTTGTCCACGTTCCTCGTCTCTCCCTGGCTCCTCATGTTTGGTTTTCCCCAAATGTCTCCATTGTTCTGGTTTGCTTTTGATTATTAGTTGGATTTTTGGATTCCTGCCTTTGTTGCTGTTTTTGCCCCATTAAACTACCCAGAAATCTCCTCAGCCTGTCTGCCTCTGCATTTGGGTCCTCTACCAAAACTAACCCTGACAATAGGAACCAACCCCAATGGACCCAGCAGAGCCCAGTCTGGACACCCTGAGGGATTTT